ACACTACAATCTTTTAACAGGAAATATTCACAACTTGGCTCCACACCTGAAGTGCTTACGGATCAGAATGCCCAATTTTCAGTTATTAAAACTAAGTTAGAAGATGTATGTAAGGGATAAAAATGGTGAACAGTGAAACATTTTAGCTACATATGGAAAAAATCTGAAGGAAAAGTGGGGAGTTCAAACATATCAGCGATCAAGCCTAGAGTTTATGACATTCAGCAACAAAATTAAATACAGTTTACTGGAATTCTATTGCCAGAGAAAAGAGCAGGCTTCTGAAATTTACCAATCTCTACCCAGTGAATATATGATCAGCCAATGGCACAAGATGCTCCATTAGTGTGACAGAAGACAGATTTTAAACTCCAAAAGCTACATGACTGTGGATTTCAGCCTAAAACTGAAAAAACACATGCATCTGTCAAAAAACACAATCAAAAACCAACACCACAAAATCTCCCAAAACCCAAATAAATCCCCAAACCCCAATAACCACTCAACAATTCCCAAATCCTTCCTGTTTACCTTAACAATTACTAGGATAATTTTAAAGACTAATTCAACTCTGCACTTGATCTCAGGTAGACAAGTAGAGAAGAAAAGCAGAGAAATCCTTTTCTGAAGGTGTAATTACTTTGTGCATTCAGTAAAAGTAGTAGCAAATAAGGAAGCCAACTGTAGTTTACATAAAAGAATAAGGAAACAGTAAATGACCTTTCCCTTACAGACCTTCCCAGATTTCTCTAAAAGACGCTCCAAAATAAGCATATAAAGCAAGGTTTGCATCAATCACCTGGAAGCACAGAGGAATCTCCACTTCAAATCCCAGCCCCCTGCCCCATGGCTGGTTCTACTGTTTTCTAGGCTCTTGATTTGTTCTCTCTTAAAACTCCCTCCTGCTGGTTTACCACCCTGCACTCTGGGGAGCCAGCTCTCCACTGCCACTGACTCTTGCAGGAGCATCAGCAAGACATATGTTGCCCATTTCTTCTAAGTGCATTTTTTATTCAAGTACCACTTAAATCAGTGGAAGAAGTCTTGGGATGTTGGATCAGAACCCAGTATTAAAAACCACCTTTGAAATTAAATAGAACCTACAGTTTGTTAAAAGGGAGATGCTGGAAAGTAGTCTGCAGCCAGCAAGATGGGGCGTGAGACAGAACTTTCAGAGGTCAATGCAAACAAGTTTAACTTGCTACTCTCTTCTTTTGGTTATGGCACCAGTAACAACATTTTGGAAACTCTATTGAGTTTCCCATTTGAAAGTTTCCAAAAAAATGGTGGAGGTGGATACAGCCAGGTACTCCCCCAGGTTGAGCTAGTGAGTAGGCATCATCTAGCCCCAGCCACTCTGAAATGCCACTTCTATGCAACAGCTACTGGCAGCTACTTACAATCAACAGCTTAACTTACATTTTCTAAGTTTTCTGAGAGCTTTTCATAGGCAATGAACATGCAGTTTTAGGGAAGGTGACCAGCATTATGTAAATCCTAACTTTCAAAAATGTCTAAAACACAAGACTATTTTCAAGAGGATAAGACTACACTGATGTGACTGACAGTTTTCAGTGTGGTTTGTAGGGCAGAAATACCTTGTTTTAAACATGATAGTCAAGAAATCTCAGTTTTCTAATTGTAATGAGATTTTCATTTGAAATTTTGAAAACCATGATAGATTCCTTCAGTCCTTTACTATGACATCTGCATTTCCAGGCATATGGTTTGTCTCCTAATGCTTCACCCAGCACAGGACTTATTAGGGTCAGTTAAACATTTATATAGCAACAAGGCAGCAATTGTGATTTTTCTGACTATCATGAGCTAAAGGATTTGGTAGTTAATTACTGAAGTAACTCATACATGTCAAGAAACAGAATAATTTTGTAATTCTAGCCTACCCTGTTGCCTCTCGGTATTCCTTACAGATGCTTTTCTATTACTTTTTACACATTACAGAAGAAAAGCATCTGATATTTTATGAGGAATAGCCCTAGCAACAATGTAAAGTGCAAGTCTTAACCAGAAAGTTTTAGATCTTCATTTTTTCCCTTCTATAAGGCCCCTTTTCTTTTGCTTAGGCATCCACATTTTTTCCAGTGTTTTTTAAATGTTGTATGTATTTATGAAGGAATTTTCAAAGCCACCAAGAGGATTTTGATGTCAAACTGCAGCTTTTTGAATGAGTTCTGAACTTACATATCCATGCACAGACTGAATATACATTAGGCTTTCCATACGTGCTAGCAAACAGCTAACAGAACTAGCAACTATGAGGCACCCAAAACTATACTCAATTTGATTCTGCAACACTTTATTTATTGCAACCAGATCATCTACAGGCAACTGAGCCACATATTGCCATGGTGAGTCGGTTCTGTTGTGACAGACATTAAGAGCAAGAAGCTGAAAAGCAATTTCACTTGCCAAGCAAGTCAAATCCTAAATATAAACCTCCCACCACAGTATATTCAATTACAAAGTCACAACTGCCTCCTATTCCAATTAGTCTTTTTACAGGATTTTAGGGAACACCCCCTTCCATTTGCGGCCAACCAGTGCAATTCCCTTCCTTCAAGGATTCAATTTCTCTGTGTACTTCACCCCCAGAGGGCTGTTTTTCAGATAGTAATGTAGGCATTGCCTTTGAGAGGAGGTCTAATCCCAATGGCCTCACACATGCCTATGGTGGCCAACTGGACTTTGTGCTGGAAAAGTATAAAGCCATATGGGCACAATTGTCAGTCTGGTGTTAGCTCATGTTCCAGTAACTTTTTTTTTTCAGGGGGGCATGTTTGCAGTTTATAGATGTCCCAAAGAGAACAGTTAAATAAAGTTTTCAGGAAGCTACATGTCAGTTATAGAAAACAAGTGACATGCAGCACAGAGGATGGATTGCTACCAAATGTAAATGATACTAGGAATTGTCAGTGCAATAGACTTAGCAACAAGGGTTCATTTTTATCACAACTATTTTTATCTAAAACTGTTTTAGGAATAATATTTGTTGTCAGATAGAAGATAAAGTACAAAATAAATATGGCCTTTAGTAGGTAACTGGTGTTTTTAGTATCATTTTAGAAAACAGGCATACAATGATATAATCTGTAAATAATGGGTTCCCCGAAAATATGGAGGTTTTTTTCCTTTGCACAGAAATCTGCTTGAATGTCAATATAACAATTACTACCGGTAGATGGAATTTTTATATCCATTTGGTAGTGATTTACACCAGTGTTTTCAAGGCTGCCAACAAGCAAATCCAGAAGGCAGGCAGCCAAAATTCCAGAAGAGACAACTGTCTTTTATTTTATAGCTTATGCTTTTTGAGCTTAATATGATTTTCCACTAACAAGTTCTGTACCTTCTCCAAAGTGCTAAAACTGGTGTGCAGAATTGCAAAGTAACACAGCCTCTTCAAGGCAAGCTAATATTAAAGTCATGGTAAATTATAAAAGTTATACTGTTTACTTAGGGAAAAAAACTAGTAAGGTTAAAAGAACTGTGCATGATTTATTGCAGGCACTTGTTTCAACATTTAAGTTTTTCAGCTTGACTATATATAACACAACAATATTTCAGCTAAGTATTTTTCCCACTACATAAAAAAATCAATACTTAAGAAACAAGGAAAAGATTGCTGTAACACTTAATAGGAGCACAAAGTATTCATTGGCTATATCATGTGTTTGATAAGTAGGATGCAAATCATATCTAATCTTCTTAGAAAGGCATTAAAAACAAGCTGAATTTGAAGGAACCAAAAATGCACAAACAGAAACAATTTTCTTGTTTTTTCAAGAACTCTAGGAGGTGGGCACCCATTAGCAAGGTGAGGTGCAAGTATTGTCCTCAATATGATTAGTGATGTTTTCTAATGATTTCTAATGCTAATAGCATTAGAACATTTGTAAGAGCCATATTAGCAAAGAAAAAGCTACTCATCCATTAGTCTAGACTCTATACATGAAATGAAGGCCTTGTTATCTGTTTCATAACCATCAATGTGAAGGATGAAACAATTTTGCTGTGCAAAGCATTCATTCTTCCACTGATCCCATGCTGAAAAGGTGACCTCTCTAAGGATGGCATGTGCTCATTGCTCACCAGAGCAATAGCTGCCACTTGTCCATGACTATCTGAAACTAAAATCAAATTAGTAAAGTTGCTGACTTCGCAGAAAAGGTAGCTCTGCGTGCCTTCTGGTATTATAACTGCACAGAAGTGAACACCCAAAGAACACCTTCCAGTGTATTAGAAATTACTTTACAACTTCAGACATATAAGTTAAAGCCAATCAGGCTGTATACATAACATAATGCCAACATGCAGAGAATGACATTCATTCTGAAATTATGTCCTTACCTGAATCTCGGTGTTTAGATATGAATTGGGAATGAATCCCTTTTTTTGCTTTCTTCTTCCTGGCACAGTTTTTTGTCTGACTACAAAACTTACCATCCCATCTTCTTTCTTAGTAAAATTTGTCTGTCCCAATGAATTCCTAAGCTAAGTCTCGTTTGTGACTCCATGGCAGTACAAAGACCAAATAAATGCCAGCTTTAAAAGACACATAGCATCATGGATCCTGTTGCATGTGCAGGATATACTGTGTCAGTGTAGCCTCAGAAATAGGATCTTATTCAAAGACTGGTTATGAGACCACAGGCTGCAATTGTTTACATGCATGCTTGAGGAAAAGCAGCCACTGCACACATGCTACTGATCCCACAACCTCACACAGCCTAACCACACTGTATGCTTTCCCTCCACCTGTTAAGACCTGTACAATATATACGTCTGCACACATCCAGCATGTAGTAGCAGACTCCTAGGTACCAATTAGACACTTCCTTATAGCCCAGTTTTAATACATGTGATGCAAAGGACTTTGAAACATGCATTGAAGAAAAACCAGAGTTATTCTAGATGTATTGTCTGTGTATTTTATTGATCAATATACAAGCAGATACAGCATGTGTATGTGTCTGGATAAACATAGGTACACAAAATGTGTATGATACATACAACAAACAAGGCCAGATTATCTGGTCTTGCAGAGATCTTTGGTCCAGCACAGAACCTAAGACCAGGGTGGAGGCATACACAACCTTCAGAACTGTAACACTCTGTTCTTCCAGCTGCCTGAGCCCCAGGGCACCCTCTGTAATGCCAATAGGCATCTACTTGAGAGCTAGTAATAGAGAAGATGGTTGCTTTTATCTTCCCACTGATTATTCTGTTTTGATGAAACCACACCAGGTCAAACAAATCTTTGGGACCCACAGGCTGAGATTTGCAAAACCTGGGTAAAGACTAAGAAAGAGCTCAGTAGGAGTCCTTGTTTTATCCTTTGCCCACCCCCACACCTGCTGTACTTACACATCCCTCCAGTATCCTCCTCTAACACCACCACAGAATCAGTCAGAACCCACCAGTATGCTAACAAATGTTTTCCACAATAAAAAAAAATTACTTCCATTTATTTGTTATTAATGTATTTTATAAGATAAATGGTAAAATTGGCCAAATTGGTTATCAAGCACTTGGCTGTGTGTTTTACATAGGAAAGCACACGTGTGAGCTGGAAGAGAAGTGTATTCCCACAGTGTATTCTGGGAAAAACAAGAGGTATAGTTACCAAATTTCTGACTACATTATATTTTAACTTTTCAGGCTCGTGAAAACAGAAAAAACACTGGTGATGCAGCTCTGACAGGCATATTTTGCTGTTAAAAAGTAACAAAATATATTTTAAGCCATATTTTTTACCATAAAATACTGTCAGTTAATAACCTAGACCTGAATTTCTTCCTCTGTTGCAAGTTCGTAGCTTGGATCAATAAGACGTGTTCCTATCATTTTCCCATCAGACACTACTGGAGAAGCAGAAGGTGTCTGTATGGTAAGTAAAGAGAGAGTAGGAGAAAATCTGGGGGTCATAGTTGTTGGAGGGTATCCATGATTATGGATAATAGGAGGATAAGGGTATTTATTAAAAGCTTGCCCTGATATTACATTTGGCATTCTTGGGGGCACTGTCCTTATGCCAGGCTGTGCTACTGAAGTTATCAAGGGAGGAGGGAAAACAAGAGATATCTTCTCCTGAGAGAAGCTGTGAATGTGAATATTTTCATCTTTCAGTTCAGCAATATCATTAAACACTGAGGCAAGAGGTTGAAATCTGGGTTCGCAGCTCAGCACATAATCCCAGTTATAACCACCTCTGAGATCCTCATCTGAGGTGCCAACAGTTGCAAGCAAATCATACCCAGAGTCTTTCCTATCTGGCATCAAGACATAGTCTCTTGTGAGATCTGTCATTATGCCTTCCTCTTTTATTCCAGTTTTCATAAGTGTTTGAGACAAGATTTTGTGTGCATAGGCTGTGTCACAGGTTTCTTCCCTGCTTTCCCCTCTAATGGTCTGCACATTCTCCATGCTTTGCATGGTAGCTGTGACATCTGTTTCTCCAGAATGATATGAGAACTGATCAGACTCTCTTGGGATCCCTGAATCTGGCATCTGCAAGCCATGCTCGCTCAGTGCTGAGCCAATGCTTTTTCTGCAAGGACACTCATAGATCCGTTTGATTTCCTCGTCCTCTGCAGTCTCTCCTTCAGCAGAACCATGGCCACTGGAGTCTGAATGCCTGCAGGAGACATCATCATCCTTCCCCTCTCCGAGTCCTGCTAGGCTCAGCCATTTTGCGATAGCACCCATGGGAAGCATACTGCTCTCAGTACTTTGGATTTTCTGGCAGTCCTCGTCTTCTTTTATTGAATTCACATCAGCAGCTGAGGAGGATACTGGGTTTTTTTTCACACAAGCATTCATCCGATCTTTCTGCCTAAGTCTCAGAGTAAGTGTGATAAGACTGATGGCAAGCAGCAAAAACAACATCAGTGAGATGGAAACACTCACTGTCAGGCTGTGTGCTGACACTGTGGGATCACTCTCAGGAGAACTGGAAATATTTACAAAAACAGTGCACGCTGTGAACCTTGACATAATTTTGGGGCTATGAGCTCTTACCAACAATTTCAGAGTATCATCATTCCTTTTGATGCCATTTTTCCTTCTGTGAACACTCTGAGTCAAATAAATATTGCCACTGGTTTGATTCACAGAAAAGAATGGAGAAGGTTTTAGAAGGGAGTAATGAACAACTCCATCCAGTCCACCATCACTGTCGAATGCTGTCACTCTACCAATCAACTGGCCTGCTTCATTCTTGTCAGGGAGATTAAAGAAATAATGTTCTTGTGTAAACACTGGGTCAAATTCATCTCTCCCCTCAATATCTATCTGAACTGCAGTCGTAGCCAGTGAATCGCCTCTGTCTTTTGCTTGGATTATGAGACAGTACCTATTTTGACTTTCATAGTCAAACATTTGCTTTGTATGAATATCTCCTGTTAAAGGATCAATGAAGAACATGCCATGGTCTCTAGCAGCTTCACGATGAGCCAAACATGAAGACTGAATGGAGTAGGTAAGGTGCCCATAGGAGCCTTTATCAAGATCCAATGCACAAACAGCACACACAAAAGAAAACGTAGGCAGATTTTCACTGACAGTGCAGCTCAGACTGGGAAACAAAAAAAGCGGGGCATAATCATTGTCATCTAGGACACCAACAAGAATAACAGCAAAAGCCATATTTTTTACATCAGTTCCTCCATCTGTGGCTTGGATAACCAAAGTGAATTTCATGGTATCCTCATAATCCAGCGTTTTTGTCAAATTTACAGATCCTGTTCTACCATCCAAGCAAAAATGCCCTCTGTCATTTCCAGAGATGATAGCATAAGTGATATCTGCATTAGTGCCTGCATCACAGTCTTTTGCTGAAACTTCAGTGATGTGACTGCCTATGGGGATGCTTTCTTTGACATGAACATGATACTCTGGACTGCTAAATACTGGAGGGTTATCATTAACATCCAGCACAGTTATTAGCACTGTGGCAGTGGAGTTCAAGGAAGGTGTTCCACGATCAGAGGCAAGGAGAACCAACTGGTGAGAAGCAGCTGTTTCCCTGTCAAGGGCACTGCTCAAAACAAGACTGCCGACAAGTTTGTAGGATGTTTCCGACCCCATGACACTTGTTTGTATGGAGAATAAATTCTCAGCATTGCCACCAATAATAGAGTATTCAACAAACGCGTTGTCACGTGTCCAATCGCAGTCAACGGCTGAGAACAGGAGGACACTTTCTCCAACTGAGGCATCCTCACTCACGCTGAGATTGTACAGAACCTTTGTGAAGCGAGGGGCGCAGTTATTGACATCTTCTACATGTACCTCTAAGGAGGTAACAGCACTCAGAGGGGGACTGCCACCATCTGTGGCCTCTATCAGGAGATGAATAATGGAAATATTTTTCAGCTGCATAACTGGTTCTGTGGCAAAGAGTGAACCTGAAAATAAAACAGAATTAACAAAAGCTCACACTTCACAGGCAAGTAAATGTGATTCCAAAAGCTGATTCTAAACAGCCATATTTGAAAATGACCCAGCTGTAATGGCTGTACACAACAAAATAACTCTCTTGCACATGGAAAGTAGTGGGTCAATGTCTGGATGGACATCAGTGACAAGTGACATCCCCCAGGGGTCTATACTGGGACCAGTACTGTTTAATTCCTTCTTCAGTGATACAGACAGTGGGATAGAGTGCACTCTCAGCATGTTTGCAGATGACACCAAGCTGAGTGCGGCAGCTGACATGCCTGAGGGATGGGATGCCATCCAGGTGGACCTGGACAAGCCTAAGAAGTGGCTCCATGAACCTCATGAAGTTTAACAAAGAGGGGTGCAAGGTCCTGCACATGAATCAGGCAACTTTTGATATCAACAGAGGGTGGGGAGGAAGGGATAGAGAGCAGCCATGTGGACAAGGACTTGGGGGTATCAGTAGATTAAAACCTGGACATGACCCATCAATGTGCACTTACAGCCCAGAAAGCCAATTGTATCCTGGGTTGCACCAAAAGCAGCGTGGGCAGCAGAGAGGAGGACATTATTCACTCCATCTGCTCTTGTTAGAGCCCAGCTGGGGTGCTGCATCCAGCTCTGGAATTCTCAGCAAAGAAAACACATGAACCTGTTGGAGCGAGTCTAGAGGAGAGCCATAAAAATGACCACAGGACTTGAGCCCCTCTCCTGTGAGAAAAGGGTGAGATAGTTCAGCCCAGAGAAAGCTCCAGGGAGATCTTATTTTGGCCCTAAAGAGGGTTTATAAGAATGGGTACAGACATTTTAGTAAGGCCTTTCATGATAGGACAAGGGGTAATAGTTTTCAACAAAAAGAGGGTAAATTCAGATCAGATATGAGGAAAAAAATTTCCAGTGAGGGTGATGAAACATTGGAACACATTACCCAGAAAGATGGTAGATATGCCCCATCCCCAGAAACATTCAAGGTCAGGTTGGACAGGACAATGAGCAACCTGACCTATTTGAAGATGTCTCTGCTCATTGCAGAGGGTTTGAACTAGAGAACCATTAAATATCATGTCCAAACTATTCCATGATGCTAAGAAATCATAGCTAATGCTGTGAAGGCAATACCTCCCCTCAATGATGTAGTATCAAATACACATACTGCATTTAGACCAGAAAAAATACACATGGTTTGAGGACAAACTGAGAACTCCAGTTTTTGATGCGATAGTTCCCCACTGATAATGGCAGGTTTAGCAAAAACACAACGGACTTTGGCCACCACAAATTTCCAGAACTCAAGTCATCACTGGTAACAGGTAAGAAAGCAATAGGACTTTGATTTATACTTAAAAAGCTGAAGTAAGAAACCATGCAGACTCACCATTCTTGTGATCAATGGAAAATCCCTCACAGGAAGAGAGGATTTTGTAGGAAATCATTCCATTATGTTCAGAATCTCTGTCTATGGCAGAGAGTGTCAGAACAGTGGCATCCATAGAAATGAGCTCTGGCAAGTTCACCTGACATATAAAATAAAAATAGAGCTTAATAAAAGATTTTAGAAATTAAAAAAATTTGCCTTTATTTGATCTTATCAGTAAAACCCACACAATTCCCAGCTTTGGAAGAAGCTTTAGCTTTTTCTTCTGGGACAAAAACCAGAAAGAGCTGAGATATTGAAAACTGTGCCTTCAATATGGCCAAAATTCACAATAAGCTTTAAACAGTAGTAAAATCCATCTAGTGCATTATGACAGCAAGTTCAGAAAATAAATGAATCACTTTTTTCAAGAGTACAGTTATGGACTGCAACTAAAGGCTTTTCCCCTTTCTTTCAAAACCCCCATCATTTCCATACATGGAATACAGTCTGTAGTCTCTGTCTGGAGTACATGACTGAATGCTAAAAAAGCCAATATGTGAACCCTGAAAACTCCAGCACTAGGGCACTTAATCACCACTGGATTATTCCTAGAATTTAACTTTTCAAACTGCTTCCTTTTTTTTCTTCTAAGAAACCAAGAAAGTCCATTCCCTTTTTAAGAATTTTCATTGTTTCAAGTTTCATACAGACTTTTGTGACCAAAGTTTCCTTCCACTTTATAAAACCAATTTCAAATGAACAGTATGATATAGCAGCTACCTCGTCATAACTTGAAGTGTTAGTTTAAGTAATTTAAACAGAGAGATTATATGTATATAATAACCACATACATATATTAAACTATATATGAGGAGCATAAATACGAAAACACTTGAAGGAACAAAAAGGGTAAAAATCCAGGATGATGAATAGGGAATTATACATATTGTCAACCAAAAAGAAGCAGTGCATCTTACTTGCCAAGCAACACATCAAAACATCAGGACTGTGGAAAGAGAAGCTCAGTAGTTTACATTAAAATAGTAAATAAAGCTACACTGTTTTGAATCAATAATAATGCTCCCTATAATGTCTGCTCCAATCTACAAAAAAAATTTCTAGCACTGGCACAAGCAAGTACTTGCTTAAACTACTCTCCAAAATCAGACACATATGAGGATTGAGGAAAATAAAGGTCTAAAAATCACTTAGAGTATTAATAATGAATTTTTTCCAGAATGTAGATTTACTACTTTAAGTGGAAAATTTACACAAATTCTGTTCACTCAGGCACCCAATAGTTTCACAAGTGCCTACAGTTTGTCCCAGAGGTATCTAAGTGACAAAACTACTGTGCCTGCACATGCTCAGAGGTAGAAAATTCTTTACTAGGCCAAATGTTTAGACTTATTTCTTTACTAAAACTGTCTGAGACTTACAAATGGAACATTATTAAAACCAAGTCTTCGGTGGTGTCTCATATTTTTGGCTCTGAGGACATCTACCACACACAAAAAACATCAAGTCAAACAGCTCAGTTCACAGGATTGCCGAATGGCTGGGGCTGTTGGGTACCTCCAAGGTGCAATCTTTGGTCAGAGTAGGATCACCTAAAATAGGATCACCATGACTACATACGCCTGAGTTTTAAATATCTCCGGAGACAGAGATTCCCCAACCTCTCTGGAAGACCTGTGCCAATACTTAGTCACTGTTAGTATTTGAAGGGGGAAAAAAAAAGGTGTTTCCTGATGTTTAAACAGAACTTCTTGTACATCCATTTATGCCTACTGTCTCCTGTCCTGTCACTGGACACAGCAGAGAAGACTTTGGTTTGTCCATCTTTACTTGCCCAGGCTAGTTTTTACACAAATTGGTAAGGCTGAGCCTCCTCTTCCTGAGGCTGAAATGTTTCTTCATGTAGAGGGTGGTCAAGCACAGGAACAGGTTTCCTCAAGAGGTGGTCAATGCCTCAAGCCTGTCCGTGTTTAAGAGGCATTTGGCCAATGCCCTTAACAACATGCTTTAGCTTTTGGTCAGCCCTGAAGTGGTCAGGAACTTGGACTAGATGGTGTTTGTAGATGCCATGAATCCCAAACTATTCTATGATTCAATGATTCTATTTTATGTATGCTCCACTTTCCTTAACCTCCACTTTTCTTTATGGCCCACAGCTGTCCATAGTGACTAAAAGATTTGTTTTCACTGTTGGACAACTTCATTTCTACAACAGTACCAGTTCAAATGCTTGTCCAGGAGTCCAAAAACTGAGCTCTGTACCCTCCTCAGTCTCAAGAGATGTTAGGAAGGTCAAAACTCATATCCTTCACTCCCTTGGTGAGTGCTATTGCCATAAGGCAGCATTACACATTGCAAACTGTATGTGCATCATCTACCACAAGGGCATTTGCTACACCTCTGTGGAGTTGTGTAACTGAAAATGAGGAAATTCATGCCAAAGTAACTGGGCCAGTATAAGGTACTGACTTGTTTAGCATTTTCTCTCAGAAGAAAGAAGTTCTCAACACTGGACCCTGCTCCCCAGACTGGACTGGATTGTATCCAGTATTGTATCCTAGTAATGACTGCATGCTTTATGAGCTAGCATTCACACCACTTGCTGTCTGAAGACAGAAACCACAAACATTGAAACTGAATAGTTTCCTCAGCCCTTTTAGCAGAATTCTTAGGAAGGGGCTGGAGGTCCCTAGAAGGGCTCTGCTCTGTTTCTGCTCAGTAATAGTTGGCAGAGACCTTTCTTCTCAGTTTTCACATACATTCAAAGACAAATACGAACAAGCACTCCTACTATTTATCATCCTATATAGAAAGATACCACATGCTGATTATTCATTTGCCGTGTTCCTACCTGATAAAAATCTTGAGTAAACATTGGAGGGTTATCATTGATATCCAAAACAAGGATGGTGAGCTCTGCTTCTGTTTGATGCACAGAATCTGAAACTATGATATGCAGCGTATACACAGCAGTTTCTTCAAAATCTAATGGTTCCACCACTGTGATGACACCAGTGTGTTGATCGATGGCAAATTTCATTTCAGGACTATTATCATAAATAAAACCAAACTGAAGTGCTGGCCTTGAGTCTGCATCACTTGCTGACACTTGAGTCACTATAAAACCAGGCAGGGCATCTGAAACAATAATTTTGAGAATAAATCAGAGTTAAAAGATAAAGTTACAATTTCTAAAGATTTTGCGCATTTTGTAATATTGGCCCTTGGATATATGTAACCTTTCTGTATAGCTTTTGATGTATTTAAACTGTGTGTTTTACAATAATCACAATATCCAGAAAAGCTATGGAAAGAGTAGTGTATTTCTTCAAAGGTATGTGCTGTATCCCAGTTTTAATTTGGGTTTTCTTTAGACTTTGCCAGATCCAGTGCAGTCATAACAGTTTCTTCACCAGCAGCAGGAACCTACATGGTTTTCCACAAGCATTTACTGAACAATGCCACAAGAAAAGTCAAATTATTTTGAAAAAGTCAATTATTTAAATGAGGCATTAGAGACCCTGATCTGTGTAGAACCAGCAAATGCAATTCCAGAGTTTTACAAATGAGGAGCAGGCCACTAGAGAGAAACAAGGCCTTCAGACAGACCTACATGGCGCAAAAATATGAAGAGATGAAGGTATAATCCTACGAGACTGAGAAACTGGATACAGACAGCTTTTGTCATGGGCCAATTTGATAGTACCAGAGATTGCAAACTGAGCCTATTAGTGATCATTTCACAAAGCCTGGTGCTAACAGAAGCTAAACCATTTCTCATTTGCATGCCTTGGGCATGAAGCCTCAAAAATACTGTGCCATGTCCTAAAGCAAGCGTTCTTAAAAGAATACAAAATACTAATTAAATAACCTGTAGTTTACAGTCACTGTGCATCCATGAATTCTTACTTGTCATTACCAGTGGCATGTAAATGTAGGAAAGACTAAAATATACCAGAAAAGACAAACTTGATATCTTGTGTTAACAGGAGTACTGATGTTTATAAGTTTTTTGCTGTGTATCTTAATGCATTAACATATAAGATGCCTGTATTTGAAAATTACAGGCCCAGGAGTCAAGCTGTGCAGATGTGGAGCTAATGTCACACAACACACAAGATGCATGCTGGGATGAGAACTCAGGAGGTCGAGTCCTTCTCTTAATGATCATCAACTGGATTTAGCTACAGAGTTTGAGTAACAGTTCATTCAAATGTATAGGAAGTATTTCTTTCATCACTATGAAGTTCAAAATGTCTCATTTCTAGCAATACTGGTTTAAACACCAAACATTTTTATTGGAGAAGAGCAGAAATCAAAGACATATGAAGAGTACAATACTGAAAATGAACAGATTAAAGTTGTATTTCTGCAGATTTTTCCCTCCTCCTAAATAGCCTATGGTTTTATTTCAAACTATTCACAATGTATAAAGATTAAAAATAATGACTCTGAGAATAAAAGCAGATCAAAATTTGCTTTGATATTTCATCTTTAATACTATCCATTATGATTTTTACTACAGTTGTTTGGTTACACAAATCACCAAAAGCACTAAATCATTATCCGAGGATTCCTAGGCTTAGGAATTAGGAAGGAAACTTAGCCGTACTTTCACACTTACTTTCTGGGACCTCCACTTCACCTAGTGGTTGGACAACTGGAGCGTTGTCATTAACATCTAACACTTGTATCCTCACAATAGTTGTAGCAGAGAGTCTGGGGTTTCCTTTATCAGCAGCTTGTACAACCAACCTACAATTAAAGGAGGCACTAATTGTCACTTTTGATCAGAAATCACTGAATTATCCAAAACAATTATAAGCAGGGGAAGTTTTAAAACCCCCAAAAAATAGCCATTTCTGTTCCTCACTGCAACTCTTAAATTCCATCTTTCTTTCTGTAAGGTTGACTGTGCACTGTTTTTCATTTTGCAGGAATAATGTCCAGGAGATTCTACGTGGCAAAAGAATGGTAAAATCATACAAAGAAAGGGAAGTGTTCATCTGTACTCATTGAATCCAGTTTCATACCAAATGTAAGTGGTTAAACAACTCTTTCAAATAAGACACAGTTCTCTCGTTGGTAATTCAGAGCAGGAATAAAAACCTTAGCACTAAATTATCATTTGCAGGAACTAGACTCTCCTCATTGTTTATAAAGGGACAAAAGGGATGTGGAAATTGGAAAATACAAAAACATCCAAAATAGTATTCAGCCAGAATGCCTGCAGACACAGAGTAGTCCTTCCATTACATTATAAATGCAAGTGATAAAGTGAAAACCCCGAATACATGTGCCATTTGACAATAGCAAATTCCCACTGATTTTAGTGGGATCAGAACCTTGCTGACAGATTAGAAGAGTTTTGACTTTAAACTTCCATTTCACATCTGCATAAGGATGGGTTGTAAATTCTGTCAACAACATTTCATTTCCACAAACAATGTAGCAAAGAAAATAGTGAGCAGCAACATGATAAACATGGATAAAAGGTTTACTCTTTGCGGGAATCAGTTTCCAAACAATAAAAAGCAAATGTGAGCTGAGATTATTTGGAAGACTTTACCACTTCCCAGCACGGAAGATCCCAGAAACTAATTCAAAGTTAAATCTAACTCAACAGGTGATCTTAAAAAAACAAAAAGGGAAAAAAGTAAACAATAAACGAGGCTAAAGGATATACAGGCTAAAGCTGAGCATCTCAATCAAATGTTTTATGTACTAACAACTGTTTTCATGTTGCTCCACATTTTTTTGCCTCCTCAAAGATCTCTTAAACACTTCATTTCTCCATTTTTCTTCTAAGTAACAGTTAATAAGTGTCAAATACATATTTTACTTCCTAAATGTTCACTTGACAATATGGATTACCAAGGCTGTAACTCAAGCTGTGGCTTACAGCATTTCCATTCCTTAACCACACCAGCTCTACTCTGGATATCCTTGTGGTTTCTGATCCAACAGAAGATAACTTAAATTGCAGGCTAGTATTCAATCAGTGACCATGAATAATTCCATATAGAAAGTGTATTTTTTCTAGAATGAATATTGGTAAGGTATACATATGGAAATATTTTACTAAAAATAATCACTTTCTAAGGTTTCAGGAAAAAAACCCTCTCATAAAAACACTTTAGCCAAGGCATTAAAATTAAGGTTCTGTCAACACTTTCATTATAAGCCCTGTTGTAAGGGATTTAGAACTCCTGGGGATGAAAATGTTCAATTCAGATATATAAACTCCCTGCAAATTAGAAAAAAACAACAGTAACATTTTGACATGAAACAGGAAATAATTTTGAAAGCTTCTTTTGCTATTCACTTTTCACCTAACAATGTACCGATTAATAACTTGCTTTAGAGAGCAGGAATATGAAGCCACAGATTCCCTGAACAAACTGTCAAAGTCCAGAATTCTAACATAGATACTGAAATAAATCACTCTCCCATTTAAAGAGCTATATGAGAATTATTATGCTCCCATGTTCAACATTTCACCAACAGTAAACATCCTTCCTTTGAAGGACTTATTCCAGGTGTTCTTCTAAAGTATTAGTTACAAATAAAATGTATTATTTAAATTTCTGAAAATCAGAATGTATGTTTTTGATTCAGTGAAAGACTGAAAAAACCCCTCCAAATTAAGTGTCACATGTATTAAGTTAAAACAAAGTATTTTGGGGACATTATTATCAAATCAGCCTGGTATTACAAAAACCCCACATACTCTGTCAATATTCTTGGATGTGGTTTTCTACAAGTTATTCTCATTCATAAGAATTCTTATTGGATATTTAAAACTTTCAGATCCCACAGGACAGTAAAACGTGCAAATATTTTAACTGATACCACAATCAGGTGGGGGAAAAAAAAAAGTAACTTCTACTGGCACATACACAGAAATAATACTTTCTGTGGAGATTGCAGTACTTAAAATGGGTCTATTAATGAATCTTGATAGTAATATTTTCTCTTCAAGGTGCTATTTATTTGTTTTATAATTCCAACTATGGAATGACCCATAAAGAAAAACTGTCATGTCCACTTGACCATATATATTCAGAGGTTCAGAAAAACTGGGAAAAGATATTACTTAGTACAAGAGAGGTTATAGATAGAAATGGTTTTACAAGAGTCTTTATCACAATATTTACTAGAAACTTTGAACTATCTACCAAATAAAAATGGGAACATATCCCTATTTCTTGGACTTGATTTGAGTGTTTTAACTGTGTCTTTATAAAGTAGATTTCCAGAGAAAGAATGGCTGTACAGTTATTTAGAAACTAAAATCCAGGAACTGTCATTGTTGCTATAGTGAATAATCGCACTTATATCAATAAGTGTTGTCATTGATTAGACTAGACTATATTTCTTTCTCTAAATTTGGTAACTACACAAGAATCTATAGGACAAATGGGCAGCTTTAGAGCTGTTCTCAGTGCTGTCTGGCTTGCACCCAGGTTCTGTGGGTAACGGATATCAACAGGAAACGATAAAATATGTAACATTAATATTCTCAAATTAGACTAGACAAAAAGAATACATTTGTATGAGAACCTAAAATACAAACCTGTAAGATGAAGTGTTTTCATAATCTAAGCCTGTATTAGTTGCTAGAATTCCTCGTGCTGAATCAATCAGAAATGTTGCATTTTCATTACCAGATACAATTGAGTATTCAGTTTCTCCATTCAGCCCACTGTCAAGGTCAGTTGCAAATACCTGTTTGTGAGCAAACCTGAGGCTTAATTAAAAACAGTAGAACATGATTTCAGAAGGAAAACCCTTATACTACACTCAGATATTTCTGATTACTTTCAACTGCACATATTTAAATAAATCCTCATCTTTGTCCCCAGCTTGAGTATTGTGTAAGGTCACAAAATCTGCTCATGAACTGCAAGGGGCTGCACATGAATGAGTAATTTTGAATTCAGCTACATAAAGTATTAGGGCTGAATGCAATCATTTTACTATTAGGTTGCTGTTAGAATGCTCTCCCTGTTGAGCACATAAAAATGCACTTTCTCAGTGGTACAGGACTGACCTTTAAAGTAGTGCTGCTATACTAACAGATAAAGGATAAAATAATTAAACTACTATGTTTTCAGAGCTTTCATGGAATAGTTCATTAATTACCTTTTAAAAATACCATCCAGAAAATGTAAAAAGGGCAGAGGCAATCTGTAAAGATTTACCAACAAAATAAGGAACATTCAGCAGGAGTGAACAGGTTTCCCAAAGAGTCCTCTTACTCTTTGAAGAGTCATCTTTGTATTTTTTTGTTGCTGAACAAGCATTATAATGAGTCTGGGATCCAAAACATAGCAGAGGCAACCAGTCAAATTGAATAAAGGAAACATAATAGAATGTATTCTGTCATAAAATTTTGATTACACATCTGGCTTGACTGCCTTTTGATTTTTCTCCATTCCTGGACATATGTTTCTCTAAATAGAATGTCCATCAGTTTCTAATCACTTTGCCCTGGAGGCATTTGTAGCTTTTCATTTATTTATTCTCTAGAGAGGGAATATCTTTAGTACCTAACATGACCCTCACCGTGACCTGACTTGCAATGCAAGAACATGTACTGAGGAAATTATGTGCTCTTCTAGTCCAACTGATGTCTTCTTTTGCTCTAACACAGCCAGCTGGAAACATTTTGGGAGAATAGACCCATTCAGAGGAAGAAGTGTTTGCACATTTAAATTAAGACAAGCTGCTCTTTAGGCATCAGATTTTAAATTGAACACTTGGGTTTGACTCTACTAGTCTGATGAGTAGAAAGTATTCTTTTTATTGCTATAGTCCTTTCAGTAGATGCACTAATACAAGACCCAGCCTATATTGTAACCAGAACCACAGGTTTGAATGGTATTTTTCAATTGCAGATCTCTAGAAACAGATCTCTTTAAAAAGAGAATTTAAATTCCAGGTGCAGAGTTATCCAGAAGATATAGAATTCTCTTTCAGATCAACAGACCTGAATGAATGATCTGAAATACGGTCTAGAAAAAAGAATCATGTAATATTTTAGATATCCAAGCAGACTAGTAGCAACACCAAGAACCCTACCTCCAGTTTTTAAGACAGAGTGGTCCAGAACAGAGCTAACAGGATTGTAGTGATGAACAGATCAGCCAAACTTCTTTTGAACTGCAGCACTGTGCTTGGGAAGATACATTTCCACTTACCTGTATGATGTCTGTTTTAGGACTCTGGCCTTCCCATATTGATGCTTTGTAATAGCTTTGCTCAAATTTAGGTGTATTATCATTCACATCTTGAATCAAAACTGTCACTCCACAGAACACTGAATTGAAGCTATTTTCAGCCACAACTGTGAGATATATTTTACACTTATCTTCATAATCAAGGTATTTTGGCTCTTTTACTGTGATTGTGCCTGGTTTATTACAAGAAAAAAAGAAACCTCAAGATGTGACATACTCATTCAGGAAAAAACATGTACAAATGCAGTTTTGAAATTCCAAACATATATGGTCACCTCCACTGAATGCAGGACAGAATTCCAGCAAGCTTGCCATTGTGTCCTTTTTTCACCTACCATCGCTGCAATATGCTAGCTACTGAATAAATCTTGGATAGCTCAGTTTTCACCAACCACCTCTACACTGGCAATTTCCAAATACTAAGCCAATTTACTAGCAGAGGAATAAAGACAAAATGTCTGCATGATGTTTCCTCCTTAGTGCCCGACAGTGAGACAGGCATGTGAGAAGAGACCCTTGTCCCTCATCTGGCAGTGGCTACATCTATTCCTCCATCAAAATCCACATCAGGAAACAGCTGTAGCAATTTCTGTACCTGACTGACACAGAGCAAAACACTCACTCCTTGTGATGCAGAGAGCCCCCTTCCACTGAGCTGTTATTCCATCAAAAATAAACAAAGAATGAGACTTATTGAGATGACAAGCACAACTGGTCACCTCCACATTAAACATGAAATGTCCTTGGAAATCCATAGACATTGTTTCAGTGTTCTAGGAACATACTCATAATTCTGCATTACATCTAAGTATAAAACATACTTGATTTGTATATTAGTTTTCATTAGAATTGAAACTCAGTTTTGCATGAACTTTTCAGTAATCATGTCATGAATCGTATCCCAAACTTGGGTTATCATAAGAATGCATCAACTGTGGATCCCCAAACTAGTGTTTTTTATTTTTTTTTCTAGGATAAGCAAATATTAACTACATTTTATGGACCTACGACTTGAATATAAAGATTTCAAAGGTGTTTTATTTTCAGCACAACACTTTAAAATATCACATTCTGTTTACAGAGAAAAGAAAACAGACAGTGGCAGAAGAAATAAATTTCCAGATGACAGAGAGCAAACTGAAAGGCTCTAGAGCAGACTGAAACAAATAATCAAGTTTGAGGTACACCACCTAGGAGGAACATGTGAAAGAACCAGAGCTGCTCATTCTTCAGAAGTGCACTTGAAGAAAAAACAGGGTAACAATCTTCAAATATGCAAATAATAGGGGGGTTGCCTTTGTCTCAATGTCTACTCTTACTAGATTAAGAAGTAATAAAACATTTCAGCAAACATTCAGATAAATATGAAGAAAAACTTTCCAACTGCCAAAACCTTTTCAGACTTTTAAGATGGTTTGCAGAATCACTGTCCCAGATGGTTTTGAAAGACAGTACAAATTTCTGTCATATTTTGGCACAATTGATTCCCCTCCTGAATCAGAGGGACAGACTAATTCATGCCTTTGAGTCACCTCCTACTCTTTCTACAATTCTACAGCATAAAAAAATTTTTTTAAATGGTATAAAGTCTTCTCCAAAATGTGGCTAATTAACATCAGTGCTTGAACAGGCAAGTAGAGCAGACCTTTGGCTGTTCAGAACATGAATTACAGATGGGGCATTGATATAGCTCAAAAGAAGCAAGGGGTAGAGAATTACTGGTGTCAAAATTATGCTAATGTAAGCAGTGCTCTTCAAAAGTCTTGAAAGGTTGAACTTCAATTAATTTTTTCTAAGAAACACAAGAGAGGCTTCAGAAGAAAGGAAACAGAAGAAACCACAATGGATCAAATGTCTGAAAAGAAGACTTGTGACATTCACTGCTATAGAAATTCCACTCCTGTTTGGGAAGACAGTGCTTATGAGATCCTTCAAAGCATCATGTAACCATTTTTCAGCCTAGCTTGAAAAAAAAAGAAAATACCATTTGAATTTTCTTTTTTTAAGGTGATATTGGAGAAGATTCATTTCCTCAGTAAAAAACCTGTAAGGTGTTCTTTAAGGCTAATCTCTCTAGTTTTATTTCAGTGAAATAAGAAGGACTTGAAAATCAAAAGTCTGCACTTCAAGCACACCTCATCTAAAATATTATTCAAGTGGTAGGCCATTTGTTGTCTGGAGACATCAGGATAATCAGAGGTTAAAGTCTTCAGAAACTCAGGGATAAAGCTATTTATTAAGGGTACAAATATTTACACTGTTTCTGAGGAAAACTGCTTGCACTGTCTATATGTCATCCCAAAAAGAGAGACTGCAGCTATTCAGAAGTCAAACTTATTGCAGATGTTTAGGAGTTGAGAGGTAACCAGAGTAGCTGTGCTCTTACGAGCCTTAGAGGAGAAAATGTAAATGTACATGGGGAACAGCTCACCCTCCTGCACCTGAAATTCCTGACAGAAGAGCAGGTGAAAGCAGAACTGATGCAGAACACAAATACAATCATAAAAAAATAAACAGACTTTAAAACATGTTGATGTTTGCCTGGAACAAAGAGCATTAAAATCAACAAGAGTCTAATGCTTCTACTTTAAAAGTGTTTTGAAGGATTTTGTTTATTGAGTTTTTTGGGAAACTGTACCATGAGAAACAAGCTGGAATCTCAGCTTGAATCACAAAGCAGTAGTTTATCAACTCTCAGCACCTGGTGATAAGTAGTAAATCAGAACTGAGTGTTTTAAACAGGTATACTGGTGCTCAATTTCTTTTTACATCAAGTTTACAAAAGTATATGGATTTACTAATGACCTGCTCAATGTAACAAATTATTACTAGGGAGTACTCTTAGGATACCTAGCCCTTGTTCTTGTGGTAAGAACTTGCTAATGCTCCAAAATACACACAGACTGAAAAAATTATAAAATTATAAAATATACCTGTAACAGGGTGTATGGAGAATATTTCCTGGTCACTGAAGATGCTGTATTTTATGTTTTCTCCTCTAAATTTGTGTTCATAGGCTTCTACTGTTAGAAGTGATGTACCTATAGAAGCAATAAGACATTTTCATCATGTTTACCGTAAAAGGTTTTGTTCTAATTTTATAGCATTGATATTAATAGTAGATACACAACTACATACTAGGTTAGGTGCTCAGTCATTAGTTTAGTAGACAATAACTCTCTGTGATTTTTCCTATAAGACAAAGCACTGTCTATCCCTCCTTCCTCAGTAAATTACACATCTGATAACAACTTTACGTGCCTAAATAAAATTATGAGATGTAACCTTTCCTAATTGCAAACTCACAGCAATCATTGGATGTCTCTCTTACCTGAGGTCTTTTTTTTTTTTTTTTTTGGTGCATCATGTCACCCACAAATGACCAGAAAGAGTTTAATTTTTTTTTATCCATTTATCAGGATTCAATATGGGTTTTTGAACAGTACCTTAAATTAAATATCCTTCAGAATTTTAATAAGTCACCTTTTGACAAAGAGAAAGAAAAGATGAAACTATGGGTGTAGCTGTGTGTCAATTCACATGGACTCCAAATTCTATGAAAAGACCAATAACTTAATATAGAAAGCAGGAAACATGAAATAGAAATCCTGTTTGGAATAAAATAAAAGGGAAAATGTGCAACTCAATAAATTATCCAGCTCAGAACCATCAAATTTAACAAAAATATAGTAAGTTCAAAAGGCATTATCACAACCTCCAAATAATTATTCTTTTCAAGTGACTTACGAAATTGTCTAGCATATATGGCCATTGATTTTAATGCTTTTAATTATTTAATTAAATTGTAATTGTTTCCATGCAGCTGTGATGGAATGAGGCAACCTGAGCTCTTTCAAACAGCATTAGAGACAACTAGTTATTTTATTGTATCACAAAGCACAAAGGTCATAGTCAGTGTCCTGGATATCACAGGAAAAGCCTTTACTATAAAAAATGAGAGGAAACATTGTTATTACAATGATCCAATACCATTTTTCTTTCAGCAGTTACATATTATATTTTAGAAACCAGAATTTTTCAATTAAGGGTTTACTATTTGGTCTCAAAATCTGTCTGCCAAAAGAAAAAGTATGCCAATTTTGACATGTGATTTTCTGTACTTGTCAATATACTTGTAAGATATTTACTAGAAAAGCTCTGGAATCAACATCTATCTGTTCAATATGTACGCAAAGATATAAGAATGCTGACCTAGATTTTTTTAGGAACTAAAATAAGGGGCTGTAGGTTGAATTTTCATTGCCAAGCAAACTTGATTTACTACAGAAAACTGCAAGGACAATCATTCACACCATCCTCAGAGCAGAGTTAGAGATAAAAAACTCCATGGTCTGAAGGATATTGCTCTTTATCTTTTAACACTCTCTGCATCTTTTTGTTTGTTTAAGAAGAAATACTACCAGAAATAAAGGAAGCAGCAGCATTTCTACTTGAATCCTTGTTTTTCAGAGGTTAATAAACACTTTTCTGAGTCCTCTAATCCTAAAGCTCAACATTTTTCATGCAGATAGAATTGTTTACAACTTCTTTTTTAGCAGAGTACAAATCTCTTGTTCTGATACCCTCCACAGAAAACGATTCCTCCAAATAGTGAATTTTTACAGTTCATTGTCAAAAAAATATGACCAAAGTGTGAGGTCAGCTGTGACATAAGCAGGCCCTATACAGATAAAGAGCAATAGAAAGTATCCATCTGCTGGAACTCGCCATTCCAATCACATGCAATTCAGACATTGCCTCAAGCAGCGGTCACATAATGTAGCCCTTAACAGAGAAAAATCAGGGAAAGGGAGCTTTCTCCCTGCAAAACACATCGAGGCTGAGATCAGCACTGAACAGATAGAGCAAGGGAGCAGGGAGATCAGGATCAAAGCAAAAGCAGTCAGATTGGCTTGAAATGCTAGGCAATTGACCTCTGAATTAGTAAAAAAATATTGAAAGACATGAAGAGTGATGCAAAATATGTAAATCTAGGCTTTTTTTCTGTTTAATCACATACAGTCTGACAGCATATGGAAGTATCTCAAACTGTTTTATACCTCCCAACATTATGGCTGCAGACTCAAAACCAAAACACAGCAGAGTGAACAGCATTTGCCTACCTGGCCAAATCAGCTCCAAAACACTTGCTGAATTCTTTGTTAGGGCATATATGTTTTATATATATGGGACTTTTTTCATATGTATGTCCTAACACCAGCATCACACAGAGCTGCTGTATCACTGTAGCATTTTCTTCTTTCTTCAGTCCTCATTATAGTAGTCACTTTTCACTGTCCTCTTCTATGTAACTTGTGTTCATCCTTGCTGTTATTAATTCAGACCTCTTAATTGCCATGAAATGAAAAGCTGAGCATGGAGATAATGATTCAAGAACCATCTGGACACAATCCTGTGCCATGTGCTCTGTGATGACCTTGCTTGAACAATGAGGTGGGACCCAACGACCCTTTTGGTCCCTAACACTAATCCATCCTCACCCACTCTGTGATTCTTTGACTTAAAGAATGAGGGGATACATATTTGATATCTAACAGAAAAAGAAAATAGAGGAGTCAAGAAGTTTTACTGGTGAATTTGTCTCCAAGTGTTAGGCAAACAACCATTCAACTAAAAGCTAGGTAAATAATAAAGGTTTCTTACCCTCTGAAGAGCACAGTCACTTGATTATTTACTGATTAGTTTCTACTGTACTGCTGTAGTACAGTTTATAATATTTAAAGACATTAAATGTTCAATATTAAACCAAAAAAAATTAGAAAAGTGGGGTTTTCTAAAGGTCATCAAACTTGGAGGTTAAACACTTAAAGAAAATGTGACCACAAGGACCAGTTCCTGAGGCACTTGCTCATTTGATGGGTTTAGACTAAATTAAAACTAAGGATCCCTGGCTTTGGTTTTTTGTCATTTATATTATTCACATTTTTTATTCTTTTTAAAATAAACGTAGCATTTTTTCCCTCCATCAGTTAAGGCAGAAATAAAATTATGAAAAGAAGCCACATTTATTAATACCAGTTCTACAAATAATCAGTATGTAATGTAAATCTTCCCTGGACTGAATACACTGGTACCATTCACATTTGTAGGGGTCCCAGGATCACATCTATCCTATAAGCTAACTTCTATGAGAGTTTTAATTACAATCATGCTTTTCTTCCCCACTGAAATGTAAAATATTTGATATTTATTTATGTTTATGAAAAAAGGAAAATAGTATAAACAGAGACAAACAGTACTAGCATTTGGTAAAATCTCTTATATTCTTAGAAGAATTTGATCTTCTTAGCAAATAGAAGTATTATTAAACAAAAACTAACATTTTGTGATCAAACCCGCCTGTTTACCCTGAAGCTTTGCTAAATTTCCTTTAATCAAAACAACTTAAATTGAATCTTAATTATATTTCTATAGATTGAATGGGAGAGCACAATGGCATTCTGATTCCACAGTTCCTTGGGGCATTTCTGTAGTTTCAGGCTGGCATTTCAGCCTGACCTGGGAACACATCTACACTTGAAAAAATCTAGGATCACAGCAGTTTATCTATTGCCATAAAGCTCTGATCTTTATTTTCTTTCATTAAATGGAACTATTCAAAAATTTGGCTTGTAGTTCCAAACAAGCACAGAGGAAGGAATGGCTGAATAACCACAGCAGTAATTACTGCAACAACCATCTTCACCCTTCAGTCCTCTTCTGTTTGCAATCATCCAAGACTATTGATTGGTTTTCCAAAATTACTAACACATTTCTTATTTACTGAATCATAATCCAATATACAGGCTGTTACTCAAGATCTAGGAATCCACTAGTCTCACCCTTAGGATATAAGGGAATGCTGCTTTTGTTTTACTAAGGATAGTTTGAATTATAAAAGAGAAATTACTTGTTCAAGGTGGAATTTCATGAGCTGTTTTAATTGAGAATATAGTGCAAGTCAGATCTTGAAATACATCTGGCCAATTAAATCTTGAGATTTGTGGACAGAAACATGTGAAAGCCATTTCTTTCTGCCCCTCATCAGGACAGAACCAATCCCTGATGCAGGAGAAGATAGCACATCTAATTGGCTGGAGGGATAATTATTAATGTTCTTTGAATGATAAAAAGTAGAGCAGTAATTCTCATCAATATCCAGAACAAACCCAAATAAATCTGTAAGCACCTTGTAAATGAAGCTGGTTGGTCTATAGGTGGCATTCCATAGTGCAGTCTCACCTAGAGAGAAACTGTAGAAGCATGTCCAAGTGACCATGTACCAATAGCTTCCAACCTTCTCTACCCCATCCTACTCACCTTTCTTCTTCTGCAAAGTCCAAAACTTCAGTAAGGTATTTGTGAAAGCTACTACAGTTTGTGAAGCATTTTGTGAAAAGAAGAAATGCCAGGTTGCAACTGGTTCCCAACACTCAACTCATCTGAGCTGGTGTGCACTGCCCAGTAAAACAACAAGTAAATTCTGTCCATCCATCAGTAAAGTAATTTTGCTAAATGAATAAACCCACTGATGATTAGACAATGCCTCCTCCATTGCATCTTCTTCATGCTGGTGCATTTGAAAGGGGCAAATTTGTATTGGCTACATCCACATTAACTTTTCCCTGCTGCTGCACAGAAAAAAAAAGGTTTTCCTATATTATTCATTACAATTTCCATTCTAAAAGGAGGAGACATTGGCGACTACAAGAAGAGGGATTTCACACCCACCTGCTGCACTGTTCTCAGGCACACTTGCTTCGTAGAGGCTGTGGCTGAATGAGATCACCTCCTCTTGCTCTTCTGTAAAGATAATGACCACAGCTGTGGCCGTTCGAGGTGTGATGCCTTGATCTGAAGCTGTCACTACCAGCTGGGTACTGAAGTCCTTGGAAGCCAAGGGCTCCCGAAGAATGATGTCACCTGTCTTCACATCAACCTGAAATACAGTTTCTGCCACCAGCAAATTAAAAACAACAGCTCCATTTGATCCCAGATCCACATCCTCTGCTCTCACAGTGGCTACTGTCTCATTCACAGCAATTTCAGCAGGCACAAAGACCCTGATAGGATTCTGCATAAAAACAGGATCGTTGTCATTGACATCATTAACGTGCACCACAACACTGACAGTGGTGCTCCTTGGAAAATGGGTACTGCAGTCACTTGCCACAGCCCTAAAAGTGTACCGGGACTTGGTCTCCCTGTCCAGTGCCTTTGTAGTAATGATGGATCCTGTGACACTATCGATGGCAAATGCTCCATAGGTATCATCAATAAGGGAGTACATAACTTCACCATTCAGGCCAGCATCTTCGTCAGAAGCAGAGAGCTCCAGGACGGCTGAGCCTTCCTCCAGGTCTTCTGTCACAGAGATTTGATACTGGGTCTTCGCAAACAATGGGCTGTGGTCATTTTCATCCAAGACTGTTAGATACAGCTGTGCAGTGGAGCTTCTTGAGGGACTGCCTAGGTCATGGCACTCAATTACAAGAGTGAAATTGCTGATGTCTTCTCTGTCTAAGCTACGAGTGACCAGCAGCTTGCCCGCTGTATTATTTAGTGTGAAGTATTCTCCAACATTTCCACCTTTCAAACACATAAAAAATGAAATGATCACAACTACTTTTAAAAAAGAACTCCTTGTGAATGCTCTATGCTAATTGCAATAACGAGGTCCAATTGCTCATACAGCGGGTGTGCTCATGTGCCTTTCACATATTTTATTTCTCATACAAATTAAAACCTGTATTTCATTTAAATGAGTGAGTGGCAATGATAGCAAATGCAGAATGTCATAACAATTTACAGACTGGCCTTTTGGCCAGATGCATGTCTTTTTTTCCCAAACCAGCCCACCTATGCTGCTCCATGAAGTGACCTCTTCCCAACCTTAGTTACAAAATCCACAAATCTATAAAGCATTGCTGACAATTGTAATTGCTTGTTCCTAGTTCTCTTCTACAAACCTATCTCTTGGAATTCAAGGTCATGATTCGGGAGCACCGGGAATAAAAATGAAGCAGTCAACTGAAAAGTCAGCATTTTTAGTAACAGTGAATGGCTTACATACTTGATAACATGCAGAAGGACCAAAGGTAACTAAATTAAATGTCATAAAGATCACAACATTAAAACCAAGAAAACAAAGGAATTCACAACATTATTTGTTTCTTCAAAGAAAAATGTGTTGGTTTTAACTGCAGTAGCTCTCTGCCTACATTTGAGCTATTGCTGAGAGCCACAAACCAAAGTAAGCACAGCAAACTTGTACTTGTCCAAAGATACTACAGGAGGATTTGAACAGTTGTGGAGCTTACATTGGCATAGTGGACACAGGGAGAGTTTGGCAAGATGGAAGCCAAGTATGACATTACTAATTGCTGGGTGAAAGAAGCTCTCATGAAATAAAATTTAATAAATAGTGTTAAATAAATAAATTTCAATTAATTCTTGGGTATATTTTCAAGGGAATATTTATATTCAGACTTCTACAACTATAACAGAAAGGACAAAAATTATGCCTTCATGATTAATGTCTCGTTCCAGCATTTGGTATTTTTTTTTTTGTTTCTCTGTTCTGCACTATTTCAAATCCAGAACGCAGAATGAAAGTATGCCTGGGAAGTGCTTATTACTGCTGACAAAAGGGTGATAGATCTCTTTTCTTTTCCACATAAAAGAAGCATGTGGACAAGATGGGAGCTCAGGAGGCCTGGTAAAGTCAAGACTAGCCTAAAACTTGCATGCTGCTGTTTAAATATTTCCCTGATTTATAATAACAAAATGATGGAATATAACTTACCAGTTATTTTGTATCTTAGAGCTCCATTATTGCCAGCATCCATATCTAGAGCCCGGATAACATAAACAACAGAAAGCTGTTGGTTCTCTGGAATAAAGATCTCAGAGGGAGGAAGAAGAAATGTGGGAGAGTGATCATTTTCATCCAGCACTGTGCAGATCACTGTCACTGTGCTTGACAGCGACGGAGTTCCACTGTCCTGAACCAAAACTAAGATCAATAAAAAGAAAGAAAATTTCATTCAGTGGTTGTGGTTGCAACAACAGATGTTCTTTAATAATATCAGAGTAGGAGAGTTATTTGTGCTATGCAAAAAGCATATGCTCTTCTGTACTGGAAAAATCTTACCACTTGTATCTAATTCAGAAGGCATGAAAAAAGTAATGCTGATAGTAACACCTCACTCTCACTTCCCACTCTAGAGGCATTCATAGATATTTCACACTGCTACCTTTAATGCTGAAAACCTCCTGCGTTTCCCTGTCCAGTGATGCAGCTGTTACGAGTTCTCCACTGTCCGAGTTCATCTTGAATTTCTCATAACCAGTTCCTGGTAAGATTTCATAGTGAAGCAAGGAATTCAGCCCTTTAAAACAGAATGGAAATCTTAGTAAAACAGCAATTCTCCTCACATTCAGGTCTACTTATTTGTCACTTTCTTTTCCCTCCAGGCTCTTCTGAATGACAATTCCATACGGTTCCTGATCAGACCTACCAGTTGCAGGGATATTGGCCTTCCCATCTTTCTCTAGGAAATAGGCTAAATCTTTTAAAGGTTTTAGAAACCATTCTTTCAAAGTTGCCTGCCTTAGTTGAACAGGAAATCAGACTCAACATTCTTACTTATTATGGTTGTGAGATAATTCCTTTCATATTTCTTCTAATTTCAACATCCTCCCAAGGAAAGTATAATGCCATCTCCATCACACTTATATTATTACCTTTAATGAGTTTTATCCTATTTTATACCTGAAGGGTTTGACTATTGTGCCCTTATTTTTTTGAAAATTTTCTTACATTCCAGTCAACCATTCTGTGTTTTTCCCACCCAGAATTAATCCTTGAGTAGGGCAGGGACAGTTGGTACACCTGAAAAATTACAAGATACTTGTCATATGCAAACACTGCCTGCCTGTTCTCATCTGCTGCAGTCAAGCACAAGACAATCTGCACTGGAGTTGATGGAGAAACACCCATGTAAGAGAAGAAACAGAGTCTACAGTTTTTAACACAGTCAATTTCATTTGCCTTTGAATAGATTTGGTAAGTGGTTGACAGTGCTACTGAAATTCGATTAAGAGAATTACTACCATGAATGCATTCACACCTAAACTAAGTCAAGGGAGGGATGTATACAATACACACCAGGAGGAAAAATGACTTACAGAAATCCTTTCAGCTTTACAGAAGAAGGAAGAAAAATCACATCAGTGAGGACAGTCAAGGTGTATGTCTTCAAAGTCTTAGGTTATATTTATCTGATCTGCCCATATCAGATAACATTCAACTAAATTTTAAAAGCCATTCACAGTTCTGCCTGCATTCATCTATCCCTTTTCACCAATATGCTACCAATAAATAAAAAAAAAAAAGAGATACAAAGCTGCAGGTCTGATAGTATTAGCTTCTTGCCTCCTGCAATTGAGCAGCTTCAATCCAGTTCCTTCTCCAGCAGATTCCACAATGGACACTATTCACAACCAGGGCTGAAAAAACATGAGTGCCATCCAAGTTGATAATTCACACAATGCTGAAGTTAAAACTTTTAATCCTTAAAAAACACAGATATTAACATCTTAATTACATTTATTTACCAAACATTTACTGACTCCTTTCCCATATCCAACTGCTAGGAGTGTAAAGGAGCATTTGGAAATAGCTGCACACCCTGCCCAGGAGTGGAGCATGCTGACTCTACACATGCACACACCACAGCACAGCAGCTAGCACATATGCACTCAATCCAACCTGCTGGTTAATTATTCAGTAGCACTGGTCACACTTTAGGACCTGAAATTACAAACTGAAATAAAAAATGTTCCCCCTGCCCCAAATCCAGATTCAAGTCTCATCTTTATAAGACTTTACAATAATGTCTAATGGATGGCAGTAAGCCCTGTCTCATAACTCAAAGTCAATGGTTCCTATTAACCTTTAAAATTTTTTTCCTAAGGCTCCAGACAGAACTACTGAACCACAGAAGTACACATCAGCTTAAAAGGAGACCTTGCCAAATGCTAGTTTGGTTTGCTAGTTTAGTCTTCTGCAAAGACCTACCTCAAGCAAAAACCCTGACCTATCTTAAATATGCTGCTGGTATCTTTGCTTTGCCATGTGTATTTTTCCAACATGCATATTTTTCCAATGTTAACGTCTTTTACACTTGCATTTACTGATGTTGAGCTGTCAGATGTCAGCTGGGTAGGGGTGAGGGCACGAAGGGCTCCCTAAAGGCTCCCAAAGTCAGGCAACATAGAGATGCAGTAAGCACAGATGTTGTAATGTCCAGGAGATGGGTAGCTGAACAAAAGTTTTCAAGGATATTCATGTGAAAGAAAACCATTCAAAAGTCAGAAGTTTTACTTGTGATTTCCCCCAAAAAATACCCCCTACTAGTCACAGAGAATGAAGAAGAAAGGAAAATAAAACAAAAGGTTGCTAATGACTGGTTCCTCCCAGTGGTCACTCAGGGAACATACAAAGCAAACAAAAAAGTGTGATGGGACAAAGTCCTCCACTGAGAGTATGCAAATATTAATGGGAAGTGAACTGCAATTTAAAGAGTGTGTAAAAAATATATATATGATGGAAAAATAAAAAAAAAGGACACCATGACAGGAGTAATTTTATTCCAAAACTGTGTTCCAAAAACATAAGAAAAGTGAGTAGCATTATATTTATATGACTCCTACACAAATCATATTTTCTTACATTATGAATATCACTTCAATATTAATTGAAACAATGACACACCCACGTCATGGGCCCAAATCATGCAAATGTAAGAAAAAGACCCAACAGAAGGACTGTGGTTACTGGAAAATGTACTTTAAAAAACCAGCAGGAAGGAACCATCAGCCACAACAGTGCTCCAGCCCAAAGTGTCTGCACAGGCAGGCACACACTGTGCCACCCAGTACACTTGGAATGTCCTTCCTCTTCACCCTGCCAAGCCACCCCAACTCCTTCCCACTAACTGCTCTGGAAAGTTCCTTTCTTCTGTATTTCCCACAAAATGTGAAAAAAAAAACCAATAAGGGATGGAAAAGGAGGGAGCAGAATTCAAGCAAATTCTCAGTTGTCTCCTTTATCTTCCAAACCTTTCTTCAAGTATCACTTTTTTTGTGATCCACAAAAGAAATAAAATATTTGTAAGAGTGAGATACAGAGGCAGACTGCAGTACAGCTCAGCTGTTATGGAGATCATAACAGACAGGGATACCTACACATTCCTACTTTCTAAATACTTCACATAGTTATGGGGAAATGTCTTCTCTACATAATACCTCTACTGAGCCCACATCAGCCTTTTGTAATCTATATGTGCTCTACATTAAAATTACAAGTCTTACTGAATACATAAGATTATTTTGCTTACAAGTTCAATTATCTGTTTTTAACATCGCACACTCTTACACAATTCTAAAGAAAGTACAGGAAGTGAACCCACAGTAAAAATGAAGTCATTCACAGAGCTGAGACTACCTTTGGGCCAAAGATGGCAGTATTGTAATATTTAACTCTCTTTCCAGATTTTATTATTTATCATGCAGACTTGTATAAGTGCTCCAGCACATGGACTAGCTGTAACATCATATGCTATGCATTTTAGACAGTTCAAAAGAGCAGGCAGTTGAAGAACTGGAGGGAATTTTTTGTTGCTTAGCAGACTCTCTCAAGTTTAGTCCTTACATGTGATTCACTGAGGAGATGAACCATCCCCACATCTTATTCATCCATTCTGTGTCTTGTCAAAAAGCAATGTATTAACACACTTTAGCATGCAAAGGCCTCTTTAAAACCCGGAGCAGCTTCCACTATCCCTCACAGTTCAACCAGCTTGAAAAACTTGGATGACAGTGCCCCTCTCTGGTCAGAAAAGATAAGTGCACATTTGTCGGCTCTTAAAAAACCAGGCTAGTGAACTGCTTTAAAACTATTCAAAATGCTCTGATTAAGATCGATAAAATGTTCAGATATTAACTTTGAGTTGAATATTGTTTGCTGATTTATAACCAAAAAACGTTGGCTTTCTTCACGTGAAACCTACAATATGCTGTGTCACACAAGAACAGTTTTTACTTTTAATATAACCATCAGAGCTGAAGCCACCCCAAAGTGGGTGTAAGTCAGAATAGCTGCAAGCTCTAATTAAAGATCGAGAGTCTGACCCAAAACTCACATTTGGAAACTCAAAAGACATACATTACCTTGGGAAAAGCACAACATCTGTACACACAAGACATCAAGATTGGCCTACTATGATCCACAAGTAAATTACAAGCAAAGGACATATCTTACCTGCATCTCGGTCCACAGCCTCCACTCGTATGACAAACTCCCCTGGATCTCGGTTCTCATGAACTGCAGCCTCATAAAGTTGCTCCAGGAATCCTGGGGCCTCATCATTCACATCAAGAACAATGATGGTTAGAACTTGTGTGGCAGAGAGAGCTGGGCTGCCGTCATCAAGAGCTATGACTGTCAAACTGTAGCGCTCCTGAACCTCACGGTCTAGAAACTGGGCTGTAGTCAAGAGTCCTAGTTTAAAGAAAAAAGGTTTTTAAAAAGGAACCCAGCTGATCCAGCACACACAGCTTCAATGTAGCATCACCAAGTCACTGCTGCAAGGCGTCTGGACTTTGCAGTCATTCATTACCTTTGATTCCCTCTACAGTGCTAACTGGCTCAGAAATACTGCCTTTGGCATCCAGGGAAATTTGAATTCATGGAAAATTAAAGTGAATTTCAGAGATTGCTTTTTATTTAACTTTGGGCTTAACTTTTTAGCTATATTTAACTTAAATATTTGTCTTCTTCTGCAAGTAAGTTATGCAGTTAGGAGCTCTACAAATCAGTGTCAGCTGCATCACCTAATGGATTCAAAATCAGAGTAAGAACCAGAAAATATTACAACAATTAAGGTTATACTTGTATTTGTGAGAACATAGTATAATAGTTAAGAAGCAGAGAATTTCAGAGGGCTGAAGAATGAAATTCATCAGCACTTTGAGCTTCCACTGAACACACTCCACCCACAGTGTAATGCAGACTCCCTGATCTCAACTTTGCCTTTCCTCATAGGTACGTACCATAACATACATGTGTGCACATGCTTTAAGTATGCATCGTGCCAAAATCAGAATGAAGTATTTCACTGCCTGCTTTTTCTTCCCACCTTCCTCAATACACTATTGGAGGATGCCCCAGTACACCTACATAACACAGTAACAGTGTTATGCCAAAATTTTTGAGCTGAGTCTCACAGCGCTTGACTACTGTGCTCTGCACTGCCCTGCTTGTGTGGTGCTCTGCCCAAGGTAATCACCCCTGAGGACATTAAGTCACCTGGGCAGAGTGCCACACTAGTGTGGTATTTCACTATTGTATGGTAGGCTCTCCCAAATGTTACTGTGAGAATCATAACACAAGAAACCCCAGAGAAGATACAGTACCTGTGATTTTATCCAGTACAAATGCTTTGTTTTCATTGCCTGAAAGAATGTGATATGTAACTTGTCCATTTCTTCCCTCATCAGGATCCTTTGCAATTATATGATGTACAAGGAAGCCCACCTCCACATCCTCCATGACATAGGAAAGAGGCGAAGACATAAAACTGGGACTGTTGTCATTGGTATCTAAAATAACAATTTTGACAGCCAGGGAATCCAGACGACGATCAGTCAGATTTATTGCCTGGTCTTCTGCAAACACTGTCAAGATCACAGAACGTGTAATCTCCCTGTCCAGTGGAGAAGCTGTGGTCAAAGTGCCATACAAAGGGTGAATAAGAAATTGATTTTCACCTGTGTTACTTATTTCTAAGGAATACTCTATTTTGCTGTTCAGAAAACCGCCATCTCCATCCTTTGCATTGAATGTGTAAACGAGAGTGCCAATGGGTACATTTTCTTCTATGCCAATCACTACAAAGTCGTCTTGAAAATGTGGAGAATGATCATTCTTATCTTCTACATCAATACTTAGGAATACAGTGCTATTTTGGGGGGGATTATTATAATCCTTTATAATAACTTGCAAAAGAAAGTGCGAATCTGTTTCATAATCAAGTTCCTTGGAAAGATAAAGGTCTCCCGTTAAGCTGTCTATTTCAAAATGAACATTATCATCTTTAGCAATACTGAAATGCAGTTTCCTGTTAGGTGCTAGATGGTTACTCGATGCCTTCAGAGAATCCAACACTTGGGCAGGTTTAAAATTTTCAGGTACAACAAAGTGCTTGAAGTCCTGAAAGAAGCCAGATCTCCCGCTGGAAAGTGGGATTACCTGCAACCAAAACACAAAGACTGCAGTATTTTCCCACTGTTATTATGAATATTGTAATGTGTAGTGGCCTGACCCTGGCTGAATGCCAGGTACCAGCAAAGCTTCTTTCTCACTCCCCTCTGCCACTGGACAGGGGACAGGAAACAAAATGAAAGTTCATGAGCTAAGATAAGGACCAGGAGAGATCACTCAGCAAATACAATCATGGCCAAAACAGACTAGAAATAGAGATATTAACTGAAGTTATTACAAACAAAATTAGAGCAGGATACTGAGAAGTACAATAAGAGCTTGATACACAACTTCCCGCCACCCCTCCCTCCTCCTCCAGGGGTGCAGGGAGAGAGGGAATGGGAGTCACAGTCAGTTCATCAGCCAGTGTTTCTCCCATTGCTCAGGAAGAGGAGTCCTTTAACTCTCTTTAACCTGGGAACAGCTTTTGCCTTGCCTGGACTGAAGCTACAAGCTATCCAAAATTAACCATCTTTAGGGTGACTTGAATATAGCAGCTTCAATAACATTCAGCCTCTGACAGAGGAGTGCACAGGTGGCCTGGACAAAGCAGCCCCACTGCAGCTCGATGAACAGCAGGTGGCTGGCTATGGAATGAGCACATGCTGCATTTCATACTCCCATGAAGAGCAGCCCTGTATAAACCAGCACAAAGAAATAAGATATCCTTATACAAGGTTATAGAGACAGAATTTAGAAAAGAGAGCAACTTAGTGGAGAAAACAAGAAAGTCTACTCTCTTCCACACCTTCAATCCCACTTGATACTTTTCTCTCTGCCTACCTGGATATTTTCCTCCTATTTCCCAGTGTTTCCAATGATCTCCTAAAGCACAAGCATCATCTATTTGCAAGATGATCCAGAATGCTGCTGTGCATTCTTAACAAATCAAAATGAATCTGCCCTCTGACTTCCTCCCTCAACAGAAAAACAGCTAAGGAAAATTACCACTAGACAAGGTGCCTAAAATTTTGAACTTCTTCCTTTTTTCAGTTTATTTCCCAACCTTCCTCCAAAGTTGTTTTTTCTTCAAAGAAACTAAGCATTTAACATAATTAAATCTATCTGTACAAGGTAAATAAGTACCTGGATGTAAACAGCAGCATGCCCTTGAAGCGAAGGCATCCCCTGGTCCTTGGCTATCACCATCATTCTGTAGTCAGATCTCTCAGCATGTGACAGAGTCTGGGTTGTTCTTAACTCTCCACTGACAGCATCAATCTGGAAGTAGCCTATATCCTCTTCTGTGGGGTAAAAATGTATATGTGTTATTGCAAATCAGTAACAGATTGCCTCCATAGTACCGAACATTGTAATGAACGGTGAAAAGGAGCAGGACCCACAGGAAAGGAACCTGCTGCACTCATTTGGATCTCTCTGGCTTGTTTGGTTCACCTCCTCTTCCTTCATTGAGTACTTACTTATTATAAACCACTTAATGTCGACTTAGAAAAATATGTGAGAAACTGCATTGAGTACTAAAGCAATAGCCCAGTTTTGTACCAACTTTACTCACACCAATGATGTGTGCATCAGGAGGGTGACAGCCCAGGACTGGTTCTCCTATTTCTAACCCTGGCAGACAGGGCCAGAGAAAGAATTAAGTCTTAGTCTCCAAAGTGGCATGAAGGGTCGAGTATCTCCTGTGACTTGTAGATTACGGGGCCAGCAAAGAGCACTGCTGGCCCCTATGATACACCGTGACTGCAGCCATGCCACCTGCCCTTCCCCTGCTCTGTACCAGCAGCCAGTTGGGGGAAGCTACAATCTTACAGTAAGCTGTTGCAAGTGAATATTGGAAATTATGCTTGTATCTTTCATTGAGGACTGGTGGCACTCTAAAAATAAGTGGCTTTTAATTAAAGTTATTATTTGCAGCCACATCATTTATTCAGCAGCTGCAAAGAATTATTTAAACACATGTGAATAAATATCTCTTCATGACTTAGAATTAGAGAATCATTTAAGTTGAAGAAAAGAACCTTAAGATCATCAAGTGGAACCTTTAACCCCACACTGCCAAATTCCCAAAACCATGTCCCTAAGTACCATGTCTACATGTATTTTAAATAACTCTGGGGATGATGACTCCACCACCTCCCTGGGCAGCCTGTTCCAATGCTTGACAAACCATTAAGTAAAGAAATTTTTCCTAATATCCAATCTAAACCTCCCCTGGGAAAAGAGACTGATACATAACTGCCCCATGTTCAAGAAATAGAATACAAATTACTTTCAAATTTTTGTAAAATGGAATAGTATCTATTACTCTGTATACATCACCAGAAACTGAGAAAATCACAATTGTTACGAGTACTTCTCTCTTAGAATACTATCCAAACAGCTTTCTTTTATGTGAATTTTTAATAAGGTGTGCTAGCGGGTTAAATAAAGTCATGCAGCACAAGAACCACTATTACAGTAAGCAATTGTGGTAAAAATAAATTCAGTGCAGATGTAGCACACAAAACACGCATAAACAACTATATTTCCATAGGCATCTAAGTGAGCATGAAGCTGTTTACGTTCTCCAAATCTGCACATTCAAATTAGTTAACAGCACATATAGATGTTCACTTTTGTATCCAATTATATCATCTGCAACTGTAAAATATTTGCACCTGTAACATTTGAAGAAAAAAACATTTAGCAAGCTAATTATAAAACTGGATTTTCACAAACAACAAATAGGAGTTTTTTCAAAATTGTTCTGCTATTTTTTGCGTGAATATATCTTTCTAATTCTCCATCAGTCCCTTCTGAGTTGAGTCTTGCTGTCTGGAACATTAACAAGGAAATTGCCAAAAAAAGGAAACAATATATAAAGACAATTATATTGAATGAGACAGTCTTGCATTTTTCATGGTAGTTTCAAAATATTAATGCTGCCATATTACTGCTTTCATAAATAGCTTTTGGTTTACTTTCCTGCTGTAGGTCCCAAAAATATGTCTACAGTCACAGATCTGCTATTTTGTTCCATAGAATGTTTAATGACACAAAATCCCAGGTAAGCAAAAGTCACAGGAGATATGTGAAACAGAACACAATGTGAATTGCAAGTGTATATTTTCAGTATTTTGCTAAAATCTATACTAACAGTTACAACAAAATTCAAATATTGCATGAAATAGTTTTGTACATATTTTGATGGCAATAAAAGTAACAAAAAAGTCTGAAAATGCTGGAAGGAGATATTGTATAGAAAAAAACCCCCTTGGGACTTCAATTTTGTAATTGTTTCACATTTTTATTTTTTTTATCTGATACCACATTATAAAAACAGTCAAAACTGAAATGCCCCATGTCTGGTTTTAGTATTATTAGTGATCTCTTTTTAAAATGTATTCCAAGTGTAGCCATTTGATTGAAATTCAGAAACAACTTTTACACTGAGAAAAAAGTTTAACACCTATACAGCATCTAAGTCATTGGTCTAAAAGCTCATGCTCACTGCATTTCCAGAAACATTTCTTTAGCTCTCATCTCCACAAGTCACCTCAATTAGACAACTGCGGCTTATATCATACACCCTAAATATGTCCTTTTCTACCTGAGGAGAAAAGGAAGAAAGTATAGGAGAAATGGTTAAGAAATAAGGAAACTGGTAAGAGCAGATGAAGCATGGAACAGAAAAAAAATTGGATCTCTCAAAACTAGACTCCAATGGCCACAGTCTCTTCTTGAGTTTGCAAAAGTAACCTGCCAATAAATACATATGTTTTTACAATTAAATTTTTAATTTTTCACCTCTGTCTTGTCCAACTGTTGGCCAGACTTTCATTTACATGAGGTTCTCCAAAACTCAGACATTCTTTCAGCTCTGTGCTCTCAAAGATGATCAGAGAAATTGTAGTTTAGGACCAAAAAGAAAAAAAAATGGCGCCCTGAGAAACATCAAGCAATGTCTTACTGTGAACTTTGGCCAGCTGAACATTCAGGCCTTACAGAAACTGGCATTTAGGCAAACTGACCATGTCCTTCTCCTTTGAAATGATGGAAAAGTCATTTCCTTTAACAGAAAAGAGGAAGGCAAGGCCATGGCTCCCAAAGAACCTGAACATTATGGGGGCTTGTGCAGAAATGTAGCCCTCTACAAGTCTATGAATGCTCCCTGCATGCTGCTTCCAAGTCATTCTGGACAACAAGGACTTCTTCACAGACACATGGACAGCACGTGCCAATTTGTGCATGTTAGCAGTGTAACTAGGCTTCTCTTGGCACTTGTGTAGTCAAGGGCTAATGTTGCATTCACATAATTGCTCCAAATATAACTGTAAAAGCCTCTGTCAATGCTAGACTTAACACAGAAAGCAGTAGTTCCAGATGCCCTATAAATACACACTAATTTCTGTTATAAATGCTATACTATATCCTATTGACACTCATAAAGAAGAACAGGCAAATAACTTTCTGACTGCCAGCATCACTAAGGAAAAAATAGTACACACAGCTGGGATTAACTCCCTCTGAATTGGTGATAACACAGAAGTGGAAGTAGGGTCATGTGACCTAAGTGACCACCCACTCCCATACATACACATTTTTAAAGGATGGTTTGCTTTGATTTTCTAGGAAGAGGAAGGGGCATTTTGAAGGAAACACTTCCCTGTAACTTAAAATTCATCTGGTGTGTAAACAACATAGTTCTTTTACAGATTTCCCCTCATATATTTTGTTGGCATTTGTCATTAACATTCCTGCACAGCTTAATAGATTGCTCCTATCTTGAAATTTTTTAAGACCTCAAAAACATTAAAAATTACCCAGCAACATTTACATGCTTAACAGATGACACTGACACAGCTCTCCATCTTGTGGCAGCCCCATGACTGAAGAATAGAGCACTGGTCTGCATGGAGTTCTCCAATTAACCTGCTGTCTCTCTGTTTAACAAATATGGCTGTAAATCAGATCATGTTTCTTCTTCATATTTAAAGAAGAAATTGTTCTGTCCCAGAACAAGAAAATACTATTTCAAATATAAACCAGGCAAAAACTTCACCATGAAACAGAAGACCAGATGTTAAAGGCTGTGAGCCAACTAACAACAAAAATTAGTATCAGAGAAGCTCAGCTGTTTCTGGATTTGTTTATCAGGAAAATATCTAGTTCCAAGGCTGGGAGTGATTTTTTAGTGGGTTTTTTGCATTTGAAATGGGGGAAATGGGGGTGTGTTTGCTGCTGGTTTTATGCTTTTGTTCTTTCCAAAGACAGCTTTTGCAAGACCAGTCATATTTTTTGTTGCTAGTCATTTTTATAATTTGAACTCTTACTTACTCCCCTCTGGGGACTCTACAGTGAAGCCAGCAAGAAAGTCCTATGTGCTGTTTGAAGGAAGGGGATATAGTTAGATACATGAACAGGCAGAGACCCCTGAAAAACACTTCCAGTATTGCCTGGCCATCACTCTTCAAACAAAGGGTTGCACACTACTCATTCCCTTTTTTACAAGGAGGAACTTATTTGTGCAAAATAGTCTTACTCAAAATGCAGAAGTCTAAGATACCATCCAATTCCCTCTGGAATAGGCAGCCATTTATATCCAAATTAAGGGAATTATGCTTTCTTGCTCTGATAAAACTGTAAGATCTGTATGCAAATTGCCATAGATTACAAACCCCAAGCTTAAAAAGTACTGATTACATTAAACTGGTAAAATAGAACAGAAATCAAGCAAAAAAGAAGTAGTCCTGTTCCTGGGAACTCTTACTGTTTTGAAGCAATAGTGAGGGAAAGCAGGAGGAACAGACCTGTTTTCCTTCCTGGTTATAGATGGAGCTCTCACTCTTATGAAAGCATAGCAAGCTGTATGCAGCAAATCCAGACATCACATCTATGTCTCCTACGAGTATTAATGCCCCAGTTCCACTCATGTTCTAACTTAGGACTGCTCTGTTATTAATTTCACTTCAAACAAAACTGGATCCTACCACTTATCCCAGAAGTGAACTACTACATGTAGGAATTATGGGGAAAACTAAAGAGAAGTGTTTTTAAGCAGCCACACTATGTCAGGTTAGCACACTGCTAAACAAAGGGTGAAACCTGAACTAAAAACCACAAACCTCATTGTTTGCCCAGATTATCTGCTGATCCCTCTGATCCCTGTCTCAGACTGTCACAAACTGTTATTTTAGCAGGAAAATTTTCAACTGGTCATGGGAAAAGGGGAATAATTTTTTCTTTAAGATGCAAACTTACTGAAATACTAAACTGTACAGTACAAGATCATGGTCCTAGTCTTTTCTGAGAGCTGTTTGAACACTCTCTGGCCAGCCACAGAAGAAACCAAACCACATGAAAGATGGGGCAGAGAGCAAAGGGAGGAAAGGCAGCTGCTTGCACTTCCTTAAATATTTCATAAGACACATGGTGGTGCTGATTCCTATTTACAAAGGCAGCTTTATTTTACTTGACACAAAATAAACATAAAATCTTGTATGATACATGGTTTTTCTAAAATGCTACTTATTTTAATGTAGCATTTATCTTTTTATATTAATTAACCCTTAAAATTCTTACCTGATTCTAGTGAATATAATACAGCACCATTGTTTCCAGAATCAAAGTCTTTTGCAAAGACGGTGGCAACAAGTGTTCCTGATGGCTGCCCTTCCAAAACCTGCAGTTCATAAATTATTTGCAATTATACACAGATACTGCCAGTCTTAAAACAAATCCCTTGCCATAACACAAGAGTTTAGTTGCTGCACTATTTTCCATTTCACTAATATTCAGAGTGTGCAATGAGCATTTCAGGAGATGGTTAAACAACAGAGTTCTAGCAACCCTCTGTCGCAGTCTGCATAGAGCACTAACTCGAACATCTTTACTCTGGCAAGCTCGGAGGTAGGGACCCAAAAGGGAAGCCACTGCACACACGAGCAGAGCTGCGCTCGTGTTATCCTTTAGCGCTGCGTGCAGTGCCCCGGTTTGGAAGGGCCCGCAGCGTGCGGTGCAGCCGCGGGCGGCGCTGTGCGGTTCCCCGCCCCACCTGTCGGCGCAGCGCCCCCTGCGGGAAGCGCGGCGCGTGGTCGTTGCGGTCGCGGATGGTGATGTGCACGGTGGCCGTGGCGCTGCGCCGCGGCTGCCCCGCGTCCGTCGCCAGCACCCGCAGCTCGTGGTGCGCCCGCTCCTCGCGGTCCAGTGCCGCCCAGTTTATGATTTCACCTGATGGCCAAGGAAAAGGGGGGAGAAATGGAGTTAGGCATTTACTGTGTGCTAGCACTCAGTGCGTGTAATTATGCATTTAATTTAATGTGAAATAATGATATGTGCCCTCTGATACCCCTGATCACCGACATGAAAACCTCAGCTTTCCAAACCCCATCCTGCAGAAACGTTCTGTCAATCACAGTTTCGCACATTTAGTGCCCTATGACATGTTTTACTGTACACTGGGTGCCCCAGAGCAAAGGTATAAAACAGCATGAACCAAAGTGCTGACCTTCCAAAGAAATCCATCTGGCCTTCACCACATTCCAGAACAGATAACACATGAGCACAGGGGTTTAACTGCTGACAAGGGGTCTTTATTAATTATGTACATTAATCATAAACCATTATGTCTGCCATACATTCTGGTAAACCCAGCAAATAAATCTGACCAATATTCTCCCTGTCTGCTTAGCCATACCCAATATAGCCAGAGATTTGTGGTTGACCAAAGCTCATCACACAGGTAACCGCATGGTTTTTAAAAACCTTCCTGGTTAACTTCTAGTATTCTGTTTGCCTGTAAAGTTCTATAAGTGTGCTCAAAAGGAACCTGCTTTTATTTTGAGATTCACGCAGAGAAATTCTGGGAAGGCCTATTCACTCCCCATGGGGACTGGACATCTGGAAATAGGAATTTTAAACAGCAGATCATTGCTTCCTACATATCATTTTGCTAAACTGGATTATTTACGATGCCTGTATCCCTTGAAGGATTCCCTTCCTTTAAGCTCTCTGTGCTCTGGTCTCTGGTGTTATATTGTGTAGACATAACCCCTATTACTTGAAGCATTTGGGATTCACTGCAGAGTATGTTCTGTGCTGTGAAAAATCTCTCTCAGCCAATTTGACTTCTCTGATGCCATATACAACATTAACTCAGTTTTGATGTCAGTTACAGAAGCATTCACAAGTATTTTAAATCACTTTGTCTAACTTCATAAGTACCTTTATAGTTACTTATGTCTGATCTGTACTTTTCAACTCTACTTGATCACAGGCAAAAAATTTTCTCATATGAACTACTGAAGCTATAACTTAAAACTTCTTTTAATTTGTTTCAGCCAAACTCTGAAACTTATGACCAAGTGACCTGAACAAAGTAATGAAAAAAAAATTCTAAGGGCTAGTCCATTCTTCACGAAAATATATTGGGCCCATCCCGAAAATAAATTGTGACACTGAGCTAAAATATTCATATATCAACCCAAAAGATTCACAGCAGTTCCTGGAAGCTTTATACTTTGCTTTTATACTCTTAGGGAAGGCTGCTTTCCAAAAGCAATATTAGGCAGATTACAAATCATAAAATGCTACCTGTGTTGGAATTCATCTTGAAATACTTTCCATCAGACAAGAGGAAATAGGAAAGCTGTCCATTTCTTCCTGAGTCTTTGTCAACAGCTGTAATGGTGCCAACCACTCCACTGGGAATCGGATTTTCCTCAATTTCAAAGAAGTAGGTCTCAGGCATAAACATGGGAGAATGATCATTTTCATCCAGGACATTAACTATTATAGATGTACTTGCATTTTGCCTAAAGTTTTCATCCTCAGATGTGCTGACTAATGCTCTAAAACTCAGCATCTGTGCGCATTCATAGTTCAAATGTTTCCGAAGATAAATCCAGCCAGTATCAGAGCTGATTCCAAACACAACAGAATCAGTGCTAGGCTCTAAGGAATATGTCAGATTGGAGGTAACGCTGTGTGGATCAAGTGAGTGGGCTTGAACCTGAAGGATTTGGGCACCTGGAGAGGTAGCTTCACTGACTTCTATTTGATACACCAAGCTTTGGAAAACCAAAGTAGGGCCCATCTTCTGCTCTTCAATAACCACTGTCAGCATCAGCAAAGAAGTCAGAGGAGGGCTTCCACAGTCTTCAGCTGCTATGTGTAGAGTGTATTCCTGCTGCTTTTCTGCAAACACTGTCCTAGTAAGGTTTACCACTCCAAGACTTGGATCAATGCTAAATGCATCTGACTGCTTGCTTGCAATACTGTATTTGATTACCCCATTTAGGCCACTGTCTTTGTCTTCTGCATGAGCAATGTAGACAGCAGTGCCGGGAGGCTGGGTATGTGAGATGGTTACCTTATCAGATTTGGTAAGAAACACTGGGGGGTTGTCATTGATGTCTGTCACAGATATGTTGACTTGAGTGCTGCTGTAGATGGGGGAGTCACCCAGCTGTGACTGAACAGTGAGCACCACAACAGACTGAGCTTCATGGTCAAGTTGTTTCTTGGTGCGGATAATGCCAAACTGGGGGTCGATAGAGAACTTCCCATGTGGATCACCAGAACAAATTCTGTAAGAAACCACTTCTAGCGAATCTAGAAATGGAAACAACAACAAGAAGTATAACAAAAAAAAAAAAAAATAATGGAAGGGATAACAAACATTGGCAAGAACATCTGGGGAGAATGCATGCTGTTAAATTCAATGGAATAACTGTAAGCTACACAGATGTTTGACATTCTTGGGCTTTTTATGCTTCTTTCTTCCCATCCCTGGAGCCTTTCAGTAAAATATGAATTTATACAGTTTGTCCACTTCTCTACTCTTTGATTTTCATCACACTGGTATTATAAAACTATATAGAGAAAATCACATAATAGCCTTTTGTTTCTCCCTGATCTAAAATACAGAAAAAACACGCCTATAAATTAGTCTTGTGGGAGTAATTTCACTACACACAGGCATTCACTATAGCAAGGAATGAAACAGGTGGCAGTTCCCTGAAAAAATATGTATTTTAATAAACTTACTGTTCACAGATGACCATTGCTGTAATATTTATAGATCAGATACTACCTTAAGAACAAGCTGTTTAAAGATTCAGGCTTACTACCAAGGCCACATAGTGGATGCTAACTCCACCCTGAGAACAGTTCTTCCCAAAAGAAGGAAATGGAAGGACCTGACTAATCAAGCTTGTATGAAACCTTGCCATCTACCACTTTACATTTACAGATGCATCATCAGGCTGTTATATGGACTCACAGATCCCACTGCTTATTAGGTTCTGTTTTGTCGGGCCAGGGTTTTATGAGCCCTTAAAAGGGAACCTAATACACCAAGGATAGCTTAGCTATTACCTTTGGAGGCAAATAATGAGCAGGATGGCTTCTGCTGCAGTGTTAGAAACAGAAAGGTTTAATAAAAGGAAAAACAATAAACAGAAAATCTGATCCAGGTACAGAGGTCTGATCCTGGTAGAAACACGTTCACAAAAGCCTTGTGGTTCCTTTGTTCTCTCTTTTTCTACCTTATGGCCCAGGTGGGACCTTTTGGCTCTCATCCAATTAGGTGACCCCAAGGTTTTAGTAACGTCTCTGGGGCCCTATCAGGTGTCTTTTCACCTGATTGTTGGGAGAAACTTCTGGGCTTCCTTCCTTTTTTGGGGGACAAAGGCTAGTTTGCCCCTCTCTCATTGGGGGCATCCCCCTACACTCCTTCAACTGCTCTGCATAGGAACCAAATATGTATGGCTCTCAGGACAGGGCTCTTTATGACCAAGGACTGTTGGGAGCTAATCTATTTCCATTTACAAATGATAACAAAACCAGATGGATTAAATATATTTTCAAAAGGTCCTGCAAATATTCATCTGGATTTCTCCACTTAATTTGAGACAATATGGGGTTTTGTTTGGTCGGTTGGTTTTGGTTTCATTTTTTGAGGAGTGGCCAGGAGCACTTCCTGCAGATCCTCTGAAACTTCTGAATACTCTCTGATTTTAAGTATTGCTCTGAGATTTGCCTTGCATGGCTAATGCTTTAACTTGAGCCAGACCATCACACTTACTTAAACTTTCACAACATGCTTCCTATCTCCTCATTTACAATTATAGAAATCCATCAGGAAAAAAATGGAGGCCATTCCCAATCTCTGTGGACCACCAAGGAGAGTACCATGAATCTCCAACTGTTCTAAAGAGCATCCCGATAAACCAGCCATTACACCAGTTGCTGTAAATACCAAAGTTAAATTCTATTTAATGCTTGACAGACTGAACGAATAACACAGAGATTTATGGGAAAAAAATAATCCACAGCTATTTCCAACTAATGGTCACAACAAAAATACAACATAATCTCTGACTGAGAACTTGACTTACTTGAAGGCTCTCTGGCCTTTACAGTGCCAATCATGCTGTCTTCAGGCGCATCTTCTGGAACAGAAAAGCTATACCGGGATCTCTCAAATATGGCAGGGACCAAAACAGTCTGAAGGATGTTTACTGTGACAGCTGCATTGCTGGCAGAGGGAAGGCCACCCCCATCCCGTGCAGAAACAGTCAGGAAGAGTGCAGAACGTGCCAGCCGGCCAAGAGCTGAGGTCAGGTAAATAATTCCTGAAAGTACACAGAAATAAAATAGCACTTAAGAGACATGTAAGATACAATTCAGCAGGCTGTCAAAATAGTTTCAACATGTATTTCTACTCTAAGAGAAGGTCAGACCATGTGGAAAAAAATCAGCACTCCCAATTCAATTTTTGAGAGCCAAGTTCTTTTCGAACTATATGATCTTTACCATTTATCAAGCCACTGAAAGACAGCAAGTTGTGTTTCAAAACACAGTGTCCATAATTCTAATTTAGAAACATTTTAGAAAATCTAATTTTAGATTCATTTAAATCTTTGAAAATGCTAAATTTTACTACTAGTACTAGTCTATACCAATTTGGAAATGCATCAGGGTGGAAAACAAGAATTGTTTCAAAAGATTAATCTATCTCTGCAAATGGTAAAGTTAATGTTATTTCAAACAGGCTGTAGAGACATTCTGCTTAAGTAACTCATGAAATAAAACATACACAAAAGGAGTCAAGGCCCCAAAATGTAAATCTTAGGAGCAGGGGGCTCTGTGGAAAGTATCTGGGAAGCAATCACCTGCAGTCTGATCACAAATTTCTGTCAAAATACCCCTTAATAGTGAATTCTAAGGTCCATTGAATTTGCAAGCTGCTAACAATTACATTTTATATAAACTTTATGAAGTAATTACTTGAAAAGAAAATACAATGCTCGGTCCCAAAACATAGCACTTTGGAAGCACATTCCTCAAGATAATCTATTTGTACAGTAAACTTTTCAACATGAAAATGAAGATGAAAGGTGACCAAATGCAGGAAATTTTATCTTAGCAACGAGTGCATTTAAATAAATATACACTAAATGCTAGAATCACAGTGTGTTAAGCAGTAAAATTGCAGTAAACTCAAGTAATTCAACTAACCTTTTACATACCTACAGATATTTTTAAGAAATCGCCTAGTTTTTTATAGAAGCTGGTGAAGACACAGAACCTCTGTCAATTCAGTAAAACCAAACCTTTAAACTTTGGGTTACCTTTATAATTTCCTGGGTGTCAAGACAAGTTTAGTAGGGATGATGTCTGCCATTCAAATTGGACATTTAGTGGTTAGACAGGGTAAAACTAGATGTCTGCCATTCAAATTGGACATTTAGTGGTTAGACAGGGTAAAACTAGAGTTAGCTCAACGTGCCTTAGGAGAATCAATGGATGATTCAATAAGTCTACATCTTCTCAGAATTTAGGGTGAATTTTCTACAATCCATTTTTAAGCAGAATAATAGAAAACACATAAAATTTTTATAAATATTCAAATGTGCATGCAGTAGACTTCCCAAATATACTGTGAAGACACTATAATAAACTGTCTTGACATGCTTAAAATGCAGCAAAAGGGTCTTCAGGATCAAGGGAAAACACTTTCCACTAACGAAAAGGGAAGCTTATCCCAGTGTGACAAACCACACTAAAAGCTCAACACTGATACATACAGATAGATTCAGGGTTCAGTACTGATCCAGCTCCTTTGCTAACAACTGATGTAATTCTAAGAAACAACCTTATTTTGGCTTTTGCAATTTTTTTTTCTTCTGATGGTTGAGTTTTATGATTACTTCAGCAGTTCAATGAAGTAGTCCTTCAAGGACATAAACTTTTGGTATTTCCTGAGGTAATCTGAGCAATTATAGCTTGAAGGAAAAAGAAGTTTAACTATTTTTCTCCAGAGGATAAACATATACATATCAATTTTTAACATAATATCTGTCCAATTAATTTAAACCAATCAAATGGACTGTATGTTACTAATTTTCCAACTGGATATTTTTCTATTGACAAGGATATAAATATGTCCTTGTCATTTAAGACATTTCAAGAGGTATGTGGGAACTGGCAAACCTCTACAGAAAAGCATCAAACTGAAAATCTTACTCTCAGAGCAGTAAGTAAAGACTTCAGAACATCCTTTAGCAAAGGGTGGAGCAAACAGCGCTCCACTCCAGGAGCTCTGAAGACCTGTTGAACAGAAATATTTCAGAACCAAAAGCTCCTTCTCTGCTGACCTAGACACACTGCAGCACATCCCATGCCAGTTCAGTTACAGAAAGCAAAAAGCAAATTAATAAAAGATTTTGTTTTCTTTCTTCATTCTTTTGCTGTGTCATAGGAAAAACGGGAATAGGCAAGTACATCTTGCCAGCTCAGCTCTCTTTAGCAGGACCAATGACACCATAAGAACAAGAGCAGAATCCAAGTAAAAAGTATGTGTTTTCCATATGGCTCCCTCCAACCTCAAAAACTGCAGTATACAGAAATTTAATAACCCATTTTGACTTTTAACTGTGTACATTCTCTTTCTTTCAGCATTTGTAGCACAGGGCATTAGCTTTGCATCTGGTGATACATAATCCATAGAGACATTTGAGATAGCTCAGCCATATGTTGGTGAACATGCCTCATTAGGCTCTATTATGGCACCACATGGCGGGAAAGAAGCCGTAGAAGAAAGCAGCATCTGGGATTTCACTTTCTCTATGATTAGGTAAAACAGAAGACTGTGACTAAAATGGACAGTCAGGACCACTTGGGCCAAAAGCAGCTGCCAGCACACCTGAGAGCAGGTTGGCTGGGTGCATTCCCTCTGCTGCAGCACGGTGCAGGAGGTGCCTGAGTACTACTGCAAAGGCAGAAACACAGAGGAAATTTCAAGGAGCAGGAACTGTCAAAGTCACAGGTTCAGTGTGTGAAACTCAGAGGCACGTCTCACTAAGTCACTGGCTGAAGATGAACCATGGTTTTAATTTCTTCCCCATTTTGTAATTAAGATTGGAGTAGTACAGAATATGTTCTTCCATTATGAAAACCAGTTTCTATAAACATTGACAATGAAAAGGGAATAATGAGACAGCTCCTCTGCAATGAATGTTTTGCCAAAGCTGCCAACAGGGGACCATAAAGACCACAAAGTGTGGATCAACTTCAAGAAAAGTGATACATTTCTTATAGCCTGGCTCATCATACAAATGAATAGTCTTATCTGCTGCCTTTAAAGACACTTAATTTCCATTTTTCAAATTAATATTTATATCACTGCAGTGTTTTGAAGATTTTATCCCTGGTTAATTCCTTATTCTGCATGAGAGAGAGCTGGAATAAATTCTGCTTCACAGGTGAACAATCCTATAATTACACACCAGAAGAAGTATTAACACCCAACTTCATCCACCCCTTGGCAATCTCATTTTCCTGACTAGCTCCGCATAAGTGTAACTGATTGCGGATCCCAGTCCTTATAAATCAAAAGTGTGACATACAGACTGCCTGCTGACTGGATATGATCTGGATACAGATTTCAGGCAGAACCTGCAATGCTGGAGGCATGTTAGCAACTGCCACTGCAGACTGTACTCTGGGAACAGCTCTGCTCCAAGGCAGGTCAGCACAGCCATGCTGGAATTCACAGATGTTTCGCTGCAGAACAATCTGTGTTCAAGGGCTAGCAGAAATCATTACCATGGTTTGGAGGACTGAATGGATGGGGAGAACTAGTACTATTGAAGGAAAAATCATGACTGACAGCTCTTTCATCTGCTTCATACTTCCTCACTCACTGTACATGGTAACGCAGGAACTTCTAAGAAGTCTTGACCTTCACTTTGTTCCTATTCAACCAGAAAGTGCAAATACACTAGTGAAGGACAGGACTCTCTCCCACCCACCATCCTCTAGCAATGGCAAAATTTCTCAGGGGCTTTTGTTGTTCATATTTTCGCGGAGGTGCACCCTATTCCATGAGGGGGTTAACTGCTGTTTCTCAACATTTGAGGGCAGAAGACAGGAATCCACATGTAATGATTGTTTTAAAATACATTTTATTATATTCATCATCCTGTGTTCAGTCCTAATCTTACAACAGCATCCAGCACTAAAGTAGGTTCACTCACCAAACAAACTTTTTGTATGGGAAAAAAATACTTGTAAACCCCATAGGATTTCCACACACATCTCCATCTGAGCATTATAAAAATTTGCTTTGCACAGGGTTCTCCCATAAGCAAAACAAAAATCAGCCCTACATTTATAGGCATTTGTAGGTAAACCAAAATGTTTTCCACATTTGGTCAAGTGCTGCAAAGACAAAAATCAGAATGCACTAACTTCAGTAACAAAGTCTGGATTACATAGGTATGCATACTTAAATGGCTTCTAATTTCATTGTTCGTGAATTAAAAAAAAACAAAAAAAAAAAAACAAAAAACATTTTCAAACAGCTTCTAATTTCATTGTTCATGAATTAAAAAAAAAAAAAACCCAAACATTTTCAAACGTGCCAAGAGGAATCAAATCAACAGTTACCAGTGGTCTTACCTAAGCCCTTGAAACCAAACAACCAAACAAACTTTAAATGATGGCACTATTTCTTCAGTAAATAACCTAGGATGAGCCAGCTGGCATTAGCTGACACAGCTCAGACAACAAGCAGATGGCCAAAGGGTCCATATGGTTCCTCACCCCAGTTCACCTTCAAAGCTGGCCACTGGACCTGCTGTTCACTACTGTACAGGTCAGAGCTGACCCACAGATCTGCCCAGAGCACCCACCCTAACTCAGTAGCTTCCCAGTGCAGGGGTGCCTGCACAACTTTGCTTTTTATGTGTCAGAAAAAGCTTCAATATGAGCACAGACAGGGTGATCCTCCAGAAGATCAATGCAGTTAGGAGGTGTGCATTTTGGATCAACATTAAAATTAGCATTATTTTAAGGAAGAATGAAAGTGTTTCTGCTTGACATTTCTATTTAAGTTTATCCAACTCATTGCCTATACTGTAATCTTGGCACTGCATACAGGTTCCAGCTTTAGCATTTCACCTGTACTTAAAATACACCTTTTTTAGTGAAGCTGAATTCTTGATGGTAACCATAGCAACACTGCCAAATACACTGAACAGCTGGTTTAATAACAGCCAGGGGAAGGAAAGAATTAAATTGTTATTTACAATCTACCTACTGCAATACACACAGCTTCACTTGCATGAAA